AGGAGGGAATGACACACGAATGTGGCGGCGGAGGTGGCGGTGGTGTGGCGGCGGTGGCGCTAACGGGAGGAGCATTGAGAAAAGTGGAGAAGTTTGTGTGTGCTTGGGGCCCGCGAATCTTGCGCGCTGCTCGATCGTAGGCCTCGGCGGCGGCCTCGGCAGTGTCGTAAGTCCCGAGCCATAGCCGGACGCCCTTGACAGGATCGCGAATCTCGGCAGCCCATTTTCCCCAGGGCCGTTGCCTCACTCCGCGATACTTTTGCTGCTGCTGCTTCGATCCCCCATCCTTGATCTTCCTCTTCTTGATCGCTCCCGTCCCTCCGGAGGGATTCGCGAGCGTGGTAGCAACACCAGAAGCTCTATTGCCCTTCCCGGGGATTTGCTGAGAGGTCAGAGAAGAAGCCTCCTTGTTCTTGGTCGATTCCATACGATCCTCGTCGGTTTCCACCACCGCCAAGATCTCTTCCTCCTCCTCCTCCTCCGCCGCCGCGCTGCCGCGCAAATCTTGCTGGAAAGCCCGCGCTTTGAGAGCGCTAAAGTAGCTCGAGTAGCTCAGCCGATCGTCCTCCTCTTCCTCCTCGCTATCAAACGCGCAAGACCAAGGACGATCGCCACCGCCTCGCCGCCTCGCGCCACCACTCTCTTCCTCGTCGCTCGAGGAATCGGTAGCGTCCGGGTCGACGCAGATCACGCGCACTTTCTTGGGTCGATCGATCTCATCATCGATCGCCTCCTCCCGCCCCGATTGGTGACAAGAAGCGAGAGGAGCTTCCAGCCAAAAGCACTGCCGCTTCTTCTTGGCGGCGGAGGCTTTAGCCGGCGGCGAGGTAGCAGCGCCGCTAGTAGTCGTGACAACGAATCCCGGCATGATCCCTGGAAGAACAGGCCAACGAATCTTTGGAATCCTTGCGATTAGAGCTGCCAATGCAGCGGTGTGTCGCGAAGCCGAGACGATACATGTAAGAACAAGGATCCACCGCGAAGAACAAAGAAACACAGGAGGATCCTCTCTTCTTTCTTCCGGGAAGAACGAGCGAAAGAAGCAAAGAACTCTACCAAGAACTCAAAAGAGAAGCCAATGGCAATGGATCGATCGAAGCGCTGAGAAAGGGATGACCTGACGATTGGAGCACTTGGGAGTGCAAGATTGGAGTGCCCGAAATTGGCAGCCACCGATTTTAGAGCTCCCGCAATAGACCAAAGAGGATTGCTTCGCGAGCGAGCCAGGAAGATTCACAGCGCGAACGAAAGGAGCAAAGCAGCGCGAGCGAAAGAAATAAGAAATGCCCCCCGCTTCCCTTCTTTCTCGGTTTAGCCTGGCCATTCCGTCCAGGAATCCATCCAACGGCCAAGATCTGCCGCACCGGTTTTGGAAAGCGCAAAGGATCGACGGCTCCGGATGCTCCGGCCACCAGATATTTTAGCATAATTAGATATGGAGGCCGAAATCCAACGGTTGCGATCGGACGGATGGGACGGCGAGGGAATATGCGCGGGGCGGGGTTGAGATTCCGGAGGATATTCTCGGGCACTACGTCGAGGCGCCGCGGCGCCGCATTTACGCCCCTGGCGGCTGCTTCCAGTGGCGGTCAGAGGAATTTATGCCGGGGTAAACCAATGGTAAGGCCCAGCCGGGAAGTTAATCAACGGGGTCTAGGTATGTAAAAATGTAGGTACATTGTGTAGGTTTTTACCAGAGACATCAGGTGCTTCCACACAGTGGTGAAAAGTAAAAAGTGTGCTGTGGAAGAGAGATGAAGTTCCCTCACGCGTGTGAAAACTAAAGCCCTTGCCAAGTTGCCACCAATAGCCATTGGCCGAGGCTTCCTCCTCTTTAGGGGGTGCCAAAGGTCACAAAAGGTGGCGGTGAGTTTTACCTTGACGTTCTACACGGATGGTGAAAACGTCACAGCGTGAAAGTTACCGCGCTGGTGAAAGAAAGAACCATCTTAATGGCGGCGTGTGGCGCGAAAAAGAAAAATATTCCAAAATTTCATAATGTTAATTATTGCAATGTATGGTTTCAACGGTCTTTGAGATTGTATAGTTTTTTGTGGTTTTTAAAGGAGTGGGACTCTACGTCGGTGGAGCTCCTCAAGCGATTTCTAGATTTCGATCGACCCATGCAATTGTTTGATCGTGGAAGAATCAGTGAGACCCAGTTGGCATGGTGTACGCGATGAGCTGAGGTTAAATTAGATTTGTGGCACTCCTCTCTAATCATTCCATTAGAAGGGCCTTAAGACACGCTTTTGTTTGACCCCAAACCCAAGCAAAGTTGCAAGCTAGATGTTGTCGTGGTTCTTGCACACGGGTCATCTCAACACACGACTAATGTCGGTACTTCTCACATGGCCTGCTTGCCTCTCACATTTTTTTACAGCTCTTTTACCCTCAGCTTGTAAAACTTTGGATTGATGTTAGATGCCCTTTGGCGTTGAAAACTTATCCCCTAAAATGCTTGTTTAATCATCTCCTTAACAACTAAGTTTATGGTCTCCATGATGAAGGTAATGCAGAAAAATCCAAGAGGAATTGAGCAGCAGAAGAGGAAAGAGTCTGTACAGCACTCAGAGAATGCAGAGAGGGCACATTGTTATGTTATGTAAATTGTGCATATCTAAACAGTTATAGTGCAACCTGATGTTTTTTATGTGCTTTTTCAGCCATGGTCGATGTATGTCTGTTGAGGTTTTCATTGAAGAGGCAGGAAGATTGAAGTGGGAACGAGCAGAGAGCAAAAGTGAGAGAAAGGCATATACATCTATAAAGGTTTTCAGGGGAAGATTGAGGTGAGAACAAGTAGACAGAGAGAGAGAGTGAGCGAGAGAGAAAGAGAGGAGAAAATTAGAGTACCATGCTACTCACTTAGAATGTGGACTTTACACACTTTTGTATTGAGAATAATCTATAGTCTCTGAAGTGACGTTAATTAGCAAAGGCTAAAGCCACTAATCACCCCTAAACCTAGGTCAAACCCATGAAAAGGCAGAGGCCGCGCAAGGTGAACAATCTCAGGTAAGCAATAGAGTGTACTAAGGGATTGCGAAATCTCATGTCTGCCATGGCTAGCCTGGAGCCGTGCTTGGATGGAGAGGGAGAGGGAGATAGTTTCACAAACGGAAGCCATGAGGTAAGCGATCAAACTAAGCATGAATGAAAACAGCAAGGTGAATGAGCATTTGATGACTGTGTCCGTAAGATATAAATCACCCTGTAACTGCTAAGCATGAACGGAAGTGACTTTGTATTTTGCTTCTTGCATTTGACGACCCCTGTGTGCTTTTCAGGCGGTCTATGTTGACTGCTGGGGGCAGCACGTCGAACTTCCTGCTGGCTCACACATTGTAACGGGGAAGGAGCCATCGAATATTGTAGAGATTGTTCTTCCGCCTGACGTGAAGCTCCCGCTGCATAAGATGACATGCAAGTACGAGCTGATATTCAAGATGGTGGACAGCAACCTTGTCATCCGTAAGCCCTGTGCATTCTGGTGTTACCAGATCGTCAGTGAGCTACTTATGTATGCCATTCGCAGCAGATCCTGTTCGTGCGACTACTACGTATCAAGCTCCGATACTTTGTTCAGGTGTGACGGACAGCTGGTAGCCCCCGAGCTGTCCATCTCCGAGAAGAGCAGCTACGACACAAGCAGGCAGTCCGCTACAAGCTCCGGCAAGATGGTTCTTGAGGGTGTCGATATTCTCGTGGTTCTCCAGTTTTACGAGGTCGAAGAGGATGCGAAACGTGGGGTTACCCGGCAAGCGGAGCTCACGAAAGCTGCCACTTTCGGGCTGGTGGTGCCGGGCTCAATTGTTCAGGTGGCATACTTGGATAGGCAGGGCACACTGAAGACGGACAGGTTTGAAGCTCCCAGGTTCGTAGATATAACAGCTTACTCTTGGCGGTTGAGTGGCATGAGGTTCTATCCTTCACACTTCCTGGGTCGTCTCTGGGCGGATCCTCTACGATTAGATCCAGCGCTGCTGGTAGCTAAAACGGATGAACTACGAACTCGGCTGGTAGAAAGCATCAATGAGGGGACACAAGCAGCGTATGAGATCGTGGTTCTGCTGGATTATCTTGACTTTGTCGACCCTGTTCACGGCAACACTGCACTGCTGGCTGCTTTGCAGTGCCAGGTTCCTGATCTCACATTGATCAAGTTTCTTGTAGACAATGGTGCCAATGCTACGGTCCAAGGTATTCTTCTTCCCAAACTTGCTTAAAAACATGGTAATAGTGTTTCCTCTATTTTTCAGCAAAAAGTGGAGTGTGGCCTTACCTCTACGCAGTGGTTCATGGCATGCAAACTGTAGTGGATGCCTTGGATGACAATGGCAAGTCCCAGGCCCATCTTAACAGTTTGGCACCCAAGGAGTTGTGCGAAACAGAAAATCCAGAACTGCTCAAGATGCTCTTGCAACTCGGCTTGTCGCCGAACAAGGCCAACCAAGGGATTCTACCTCTCAACAATGCGCTTTATGGACGGAATCGCGTGGAGAGGGTGCAGCTTCTACTGAAAGCTGGTGCAGATCCAACACTCCAGGATGGCAAAGGGCGCTCGGCTCTGAAGCTCGTCGTGAGCATGGGCGACCAGCTTCTGGAGGTAGTTCGCCTAGTGGCTCGTGCTTGCCAAGAGCGGAACATGATCGACGTCAAAGTGGATCCTGTGAAGACTGCCCTTGGCCGTGCATGTGGATTTGAGGAACCAGTGTATTGTTGTGTGCTGATTGAGTGTGGAGCTTCTCCCTTTGGCACCTACGGCTATCCTCCACAAGATCTGCACACTGGCCTCAAAATGCTGTTTGCTCTCACAAACACACCGATCCCTGATTGTCTCAAATGAATGAGCTGAGGATTTTTAAGTTTGGACTAGTCATCATTGACCAGGATTGACAGACAATTTTATTTTAACTTTATAAAAACAAATCCTCAGCTCGTACCATAGATCGTTAAATTGCGGCTCCAGCAACAGCAATTTCCCATTCACTTCAGTTTCAGCGTTGCTTACTCGCTTCTGCACTCCCAGCATGCAGCTGAATCCGAATCTGTTCTTCGTCTTGATCTTCTTGTTGTTCTTGTGGGTGTCGTGGCCGATCATTCAATCGGCAATTCAAGAAGACGCTCTTCACCGGTGATGAAATGCGATTCCAAATGACCGCTACATATATCAGCTGGTGATGCAGAGCAATCGTCTTCTACAGCCTGTTATCTGGGCCAGCAACACCCAGGACGCTGGAAAGCTCTGCGTCATGGATCTCATCGGAGGAGACACCCCACCATATGGGAACGCTCCACAAATCCAAGATTGTATCACACACGGGAAGAGCAACGCGCCTCTATCATCGAGGTAGCAATAGCTGTGGCTGTACGTGCAACAAGATGATCGACAATCTCTGCATTGTTATCTTTTGTGATAGTGAGTCCAAGCACCTCCACTCACTTCCTTTGTTTAATTTGATTTCTCAAAATATGATATGTCATGAAGTGATAAATCAACTCATGAATATAGTGAAAGAAGGGAAGCTCATGGGGACATTCTCGCTGCCGGCGAGCTCACAGTGGATCTCGTGGCATTCGCTGCTACGCTACTGTATAAATGTTCACAAATAAAAGACTCTAATGCGGATGTTGGAGCCCTTGAAAACATGCAAAATCACCTTCTTCACATCCTCCCACCCCAACTTGTCCAACCCGCATCCAATCCTTGGCATGCTCAAGCCGCAAACTCCCCGCTGCTCGCACACCCTGCGCAGATCCTCCAGCGACGCCTGCAAGCTCGCCAGCGTCGGCTTGTCGAAGAACCTGAGCTTGGTGACGAGGTAGAACACTCCCGCTCGAGGAGGCCTGTCCAGCACGGCCACTTCCCCCACACTCCGATTCTGCTTGCGCAGCTCGTCCACGCCCCTGAATTCGTCCCTAAAGCGCGCTGCGATGCCCTTGGACATGTGAAGATCTTTAGAAACGCAGTGTACCAAGCCATCTGTGGGCTGCGCGCCCTCGAACAGATCCCCCTGTATCTCCTCCACTTCCATAGCGTTAGGGTTCTTCATTCCTTAGAATTTATATAGGACGCGGGCAAGCAAGAATATTCTAAGTATTTAGGGCTTCGCATTATTTTAGGGTTCATTCAACTCCGCCACCTTTTGGAAAACGTGCAACCGTTGGGCTTGCTAATTAAAATCGTGTATATATATCTAGTACAAATAAATAGTGCTCTTGCTAACGCTCAATCGTTTCCTCCAATCTTTTTTCGTGTTTTTGCTCGCGGTGGTCACTGCTGGGCACACTGGACTCGAGGTCCCGAAGGCTCGTCGTCTTCGTCGTAAGCCTCCTGCTGCTGCTGTTGATGCTGCTGCTTCCTCCTCATCTCCTCCTCGATGTTTACATCCAGGAGTGTTGTCTCCTCGCACTCGTCCAGCTCCATGTCCGTCAGGTGATTCGTCGGCCTGGGAGGCAGGATCGTCTCCAGCATCTTGCACTGCTCCGGAGAAAGGCTCCCCGAATCCGGGAAGTCGACATGGAACTGGATAAACAGCCGGCCCTTCATGAATGGCCTCTGGTAGTGCGGCATTCCCTCGTCGTCAATGCCTTTGAATTGATCTGTGGTGCCAGGACAGATGAATCGTAAAGATCATTCAAACTAGTCACGAGAAAACCGCACGCACGCATACCTGGCTTTATGATCTCTCCCGGAGTCGACTTAACGAGGAGGCTTCTCCCGTCGAGGTGCGTGAGAATGAACTGAAAGCCACAGAGTGCTTCAGTCAGCGTCAAGGTGTGCTCGTAGAACAAGTCGTCCCCTCGGCGCTTGAACTTCGGGTGGTCCTTCACTTGGATCACGAACACAATGTCTCCAGTAATAGTGTCGGGCTAGAAACAATGAAAGATCACGTCAACGACAAGAAACGATGAATAAGATCAAAAGGAAACGAAAAGAACTTACTGCTTCGTCCGCTTCTCCCTGGAAGGTAATCTTCTGGTTGTGCATCATTCCCTTCTCAACGTGTACTTCGAGGACTTTCTTATCGTGGACAACTTTGTTGCCTTTGCACTGGTTGCACTTGTCCTTCTCGCTGATTGTTTCTCCTGCGAGGAAAGCCAAAAGTAAGAAACAAACGAACAAAAAAGAAACTGTTACCTGTTCCTTTGCAGTCGCCGCAAACGTGCTGCATTTGCTGGATCATAGACGGGCCCAGGTGTCTAATGGAAATCTTCATTCCAGATCCCTGGCAAGCGGCACATCGGCTCGTGGCCCCGCTCTTGGAACCTTTTCTGCAAATCACACTCTAATGAGTTCCACTAGCGAATTTCACTTCAGAAAAACATACCCTTTGCATTTCGAGCATATTGCGTTTCTAGAAAGGGAGAGCTTCTTCACGCTCCCGTTGTAGAGATCCTCCAAAGAAACCTTCAAAGGATGCACCACATCTTCGCCCCTTCGTTGCCTTCTTCCACCTCTAGAGCTTCCTGCTAGAGTCCAAAGAAAAGAGAAGAGTTAGCACGCAAACCAGCACAAAGTACCAAGCTCACCTCCACCAAATGGTTTGCCACCGAAGAAACTATCGAAGATATCGAATGGATTGTGGCCACCGCCACCGCCCATTCCTTCCTTGAGCGCATCCTCGCCGTACTGATCATAAATCTCCTTCTTTTCGGGATCGCTGAGCACCTCGTATGCTTGCGAGATTTCCTTGAACTGGAAACAAGAAAAGAGAAGGTTACTTTCAATGCAAAGAGAGTTTTTTCTTTCACCTTTTCTGGATCGCCTCCCTTGTCGGGATGGTTCTTGATAGCTGCCTTCCTGTACGCCTTCTTCAATTCATCCGCGGAGGCGCTCTTGGAAACCCCCAAGATATCGTAGTACTTAGAATTGTCGCTCTTTTTGGGCGGGCGGCCAAACATTTTCGCTCGCCAAAGAAGGAGAGCGGCTGCTGCGCCGCGAACGAAGAATCTCTCCGCGAACCCTACCTCGCAAGCTCCTCCTTTCCCTAAAGAAGGAAAAAAAAAACCCTCAACCGCTACCGTTGATCTTAGGGCTGGCGTATCCAACGGACAAAAAGCGGTCAAATAAGGGCGACCTCGTTGACCACGCGTGTGATCTTCTCAACTTACATCTAATTGGATGTGATCTTCTCAACTTCGAATTGGATACATTTGTGTGATCTTCTCAGGTTCGAATTGGATACAATCTTCCATCTTCTCATCTCATGGAGTACGCGTTTGCAAGGAGATCATACGCTGTGGCAGCCCTTGGATCACAACTCGCAACTTGCTCGGCCGCACGATTTGCCCGTGTGATGAGATTGCTTTGACTTCTACAAGCACCAAGCACGCAAGTCCACTCTAGAAGATCCGGCTGGAATGGCATCGTCTCCACGAGTTCCTCCGCATCGTCCACGAATCCACTCCGGCTCAAGAGGTCGACCATGCAGCAGTAGTGCTGCTTGAGTGGCTTGAGCTCGAAATCCATCGCCATTGACACCATGCAAGACCTTGCCTCATGAACTTTGCCTTTGTGAGTGCACGCCATCAACACCGACAAGCAGCAAATCTCATCTGGAAACCGTGTTGACTTAAGATCGTTAAAGAGGTTGATCACCTCTTGGCTGCAACGAATCAAGGCATATGCGCCGAGCATTGCGCTCCAAGACACGATATCTCGAGAGGGCATCCGGTCAAACAGGTTCCGTGAATACAGGATATTCCCGGCTTGGGCATATGCCGAAAGTATCACGTTCCATGACACTGTGTCGCGTTGGGGCATCTTGTGGAACAGAACCTCTGCGTTCTCAAGATACCCGTTGCGGGAATATCCCGCAAGCAGCACATTCCACGTCACCACTGCCCAGAATGGCATCTCGTCAAACATCCACTTGAGATATTCCAGATTCCCTCTATTGGCATTTACTACCAGCATAGAGTTCCAAGAAACCACGTCCTTGTACGGCATTTTATGGAAAAGCCACTCTGCTTCTTCCGCGTGGCCACCCTGCGCATATTCCGTCAGGAGCGCATTCCATGTCACTATGTCTCGCTGAGGCATAGCATCAAAGATTCGTTTCGCATCTTCTAGATCCCCATTTCGGGCATATGCCGTGACCAGCGCATTACAGGAGACTGTATCCCAGTGCGGCATTGCGTCGTACACCTCCTTTGCCTCGTACAGTCTCCCTGCCTGGGAATATGCCGAAAGCATCAAGTTCTGGCACGCTAATACTTGCACGGGGATTTCGTGAAACATATTCTCTGCCCTTTCCAGCTGTCCGTACAGGACAAAGCCGTGCATGACCGTACTCCAGCTCACACAGTCGTGCTGGGGCATAAGATTTTGGAGAGCTTCGAAGGCATGGTCAAAATGCCCGTTTTGGACGTATGCTCCGAGCAAAGAATTCCAGGATACCAAATCCCTCTCGGGCATGTCTCTAAAGAATTTACTGGAATCACCTACGTGATTGCCAAGTTGACCATAGGCGGACAACATAGCGTTCCAGGAAATAAGGTCTCTTTCAGGCATGGACATAAACACACTGCGTGTTTTTTCCAAATCCCCTGATTGGGCATTTACTGTTAATAATGTGTTCAAAGTAACCATGTCTACATGAGGCATCTCAGCAAAGACATGTTTAGCTTTCTCTATTTGACCGTGTTTTGCAAACATTGTGAGTATTATCGTTGATGAAATCAAATCTTTCTCGGGCATTTTTTGGAGCAGGGTTTCAGCATAATCAAGATGCCCACTTTCGGCAAATGCTGCAAGAACTGTAGTCCACGACATAAGGTTTCTTTGCGGCATGCAGTTAAAAAGGTGGTGAGCCCTCTCGAGTCTCCCATTTAGGGCATACATCGAGAGGAGTGTGTTCCACGAGGCTAGGTTTGGCTGTGGCATGGAATCAAAGATCTCCTGTGCTTGATCGATATGTCCAGCACGTGAATAAGCGGCGAGCATCGCATTCCAGGTCACGGCATCGCGCTCCGGCATCGCATCGAAAACGCGCCTGGCGAGCCCAATGTCATGGTTGCGTGAGTAGGCGCACAGCATCAGATTCCAGGAGAAGGCATTCTTGTGCTGGATCGCGTCAAAGATCTCGCGCGCGCGCCTCAAATCGCCGAGCTTGCCGTAGCGCTCAACGAGCTTGTTTAAATCGAAGACCCTCTCGATGGAATCCATCAGCGGGAAAGAAGAGAATAGGTTATCGTTTGCCCTAGTTTGGTTTTAGGGTTCTTGGTTCTTTGTTTGCAGGGAGAGCGAGGAGCGATGGCGGCAGCGATTGCGCCAGCTGAAGTGCCGAGGCCGCCACGAATGCCGCATGCCGGGCGAGCACCCCCGCGCTTGACTGTCGACCGTGAAAAGGTTAGCGGAAGTTTCTTCTTTGTTCTTGATCAAAATTTTTTCTTTCTTTCCAGACATGCCCGCTCTTGCTCAGGGTCTTCACAAAGGTGTGTGTTTTTTTTCCTTTCCTTCTTTTTTGTAGCTTAACCTTGTGTTTTGTCACAGCTTGGTGAGCATCACAGTGTGGAAGATTTTGCAGTGCGAGGGAAAGAGCCCAAGGAGGAAGTCCAAATCTATACCTGGAAGGACGCTACTCTCCGGGAGCTCACAGAGCTGGTTAGACCTTTGTTCCTTCGTTGCGCGTATTTCTCTGAATTTTTTCATTGTTTTGTCCAGGTGAAAGAGGTTGCTCCGGCTGCGCGAAAGCGAGACGCGAAACTATCTTTTGCGTTTGTCTACCCTGATCGCAGGGGCCGAAACATTGTCCGAACGGTGAGTAAAAAACAAAAATTAAGCAGGCTCTTGCAATTTTTTTCCTTGCTTTTCATCTTTGTTTCTCACTTGGAACGTCTGTTTGATGAATTTAAGGTCGGAACGACAGTTGCCAGCCATTCAATGAGGCGAGGCCACGACGATGACAAGATGCTCCAGGATCTCGGGTTTCAGGTAGGCTCCTTTCGGTTTTTCTTCTTCTAGAACTAGAAAACCGAAAGGACTTGATTCTAATGCACGTCTCTCACAGATTGGAGATTTCCTAGACGTAGCGATTCTTTGAGCGAGGTGGCTTTGTACGATATCTCAGCAGCTTGACAGAAGAGGTATCCAAGTTGATATTTCAGTTTAGAAGGAGCTTGCGTTTGTTGTGCTGCCGGCTGAGCGATTATCTCTTTATTTTGTCTCTTGTCTCTCATCCCTTCTTCCCGTGGCATTGTGGAATTTATCGCCAGTGACAGCGACTCTGAGGAAGATTTTCGTGTGTGAGTGTGGGCTCAGTGCGATTTGCGGGTATTGACTTTGGCTCTAAAAACCAGCTCTCGCGTGTCTCGTTTGCTCTCCCAGGCTTGTTTATGGATTCCAAGAACATGGCAAGACCTCCGAGTGGAACATCGATGCGTTCTTGGGAAAGAGTAAACAAATCTTGTGTGGGGGCATGTTCATTGGATTAGATGGTGGTGGGGCTCCGCCTGGAATTTGATACGCTTTTACAATGTTTTGGTATTTATTGCCCATGGACCATGATGTTGCTCCGGAATCATAGGCGGGGAGGGATTCGTGCGATCTTTGGTGGATCAATATCAAAAAGGAATGTGCTCACTTTGCAATGGCATTTTTCTAATCCCTGCGCTCCAGGAGGCCAAGTCAAGCGCACAAGGTATCAGCGCGAAGAACGCGCTCCCTTTATCTAAAGCAAAGATTAAATCTTAGCAAATAAAACCAAGCACAAGAATTCCAAGTACTAGTTGTCAGCCAGGATCGACAGATCCAATATCAACATCCATCCAAGCGCAAAGAAGATGAGAGCAAGAAAATTTTAAAGGTGGGCTAAAGGAAATCACACATGGTCCTTTAGCGAATCAAACACCACACCCAAAATCATTGCTGCCCTCCCCCAATGGAGTGATAAAGTTGACCATGGCTGTGACCGGCCACAGCGGGGAATTGACCGGCGGTCCACAGGCATCGCTGCCGTCCACGTGGCCACGCGTGCACGCGTGCCCCTTCCCCGGGATATCCGGGATGCCGGAGGGTAAAGAGATGCCCCCCTCGCTTTGAACCGTCGCAATCTCGGCATGCATGGAGGGGGCATGCGACATTGACCGCGAGGTAAAAGCCGCGCCTTGGTAAAAGCTATATGTAAAAAGCATCGTACCACGCGCCCACCGGCAAAGATTTCTTGGGCCAGCGCCGTCGGCATTGACATAATTGTGTGGCCAGCCGGTTAGCCGGTTGCTCGTGGCGTACGAACGTAGGTTTTAAGGGGAAAAAAAAAAACCATCCGACAGACAGGAGGGTTATTTTCGGATGGTACGAATCATGATTTTCTAAGTAGCTAGATAGCTATTGCTGACACTAGATAGATAGTGTGTACTTAGCAATAACCCAATGACTAGGGCTAGTAAACTACTAGCATAGGTGCGACCGCGAGACATGTCTTCCCACCACCACCTTTGTAATAATGGCTAGCAAAGGTGGCGTACAACAGAACTAGGGTTTGCCTAAAGCTTGCTACTTATAAAATTTAGGTCTCGTCCTTACAAGAGTAATATACCAAATTGGGCGTATCATTAGCGTGCATACGGCAAAGATTTTGGGCCACTCCGGTACGTACGCTTTACGGGTATTGGTCATGAATGCGCGCGAGGACCATGGTCATGCTATGCATCTCCCATTTCCCATGTAAAGAAAAATAACATTTGGGTTCGTGCATGGGTCGTGAGTGATTGATTCGCTCCATCAAAAGGACAAAGCAACCTAATTCACTGGGCGGCGGGAATATTTCTCAACATGCGATGAGATATTCGCCGGGCATAATAATTCCAGTCGATTGACCCTCACAAGCCACGACACACCATGTGTGCGTGTGTCTGCGTCCCAATGTTTAAGCGATATATTTTGTCTACCTGGAATCTTTTGATTAACACTAAAAGCGAACAAACACACATGGTCTGGGGATTATTTTTTTTCTCCCTTGTTCTCGTGATTGCGCCGGGGCATTAAATTCGACAAGACGATGCGGCCACGCGTCACGCCCGTCATTAAAGCAGCGTCTGACGGGCGCGCGTCTCACCAATCATGGGCATGCGCTGACGTCAAGCGGCACGCGTGTGATGTGACAAACCAACCCACACAGCCACATGCCATGTCATGCTAATGGCACCATACGCCATGCCCATGCCATGTCACTTTACTTGTGTAATCTACGGACAGGTAGTTTTGTTTTTCGGTTTTACCGTGGCGGATTTCACGCGCCGGCATCCAATCGGGTTAAATCGCCCGCCCTTTTTCTTCCAGCGCTCGCCCATTAGGCTTTTGCGTTCTCATTCTTTGGTTTTTTTGTTGGGCTCTTCGCGTGTTCTTCCTTCCTTCTCTCTCGATCGCGCGCTAGAGCTCTCTTTCTCGCTTCAGTTCCATCGAAATATCGCTCCTGGGACGCCAATCGCCGGAATGCGTCTTCCTCAGCTCCAAATCTCTCGAAGAAGCTCCCTCTTGTGCTGGGTTCCTCCTGACGGAGGTGCGTAGTCTGTGGATTTCTCTCTGGTTGCTGCTCTCCGGCCAAGATTCGTGCTAGCTATGGGGACGTCGCTCGTGAATCTGATACAGCGTCGCTAATCGTCCGCTGTCCAGGGTTTAGGTAGCTAGATTCCATTCCAGCCAGCGCAGCGAGCGCAGGAGTAGGGAGCCTACCAATCTTTGAGCCGCCGAGAAGTATGATGGGCCAGAGTGCTGCTGGAAAGAGTGTTGGGGCATCTCCACGCAAAGGATCGACGCTTGCTGCCCATCCAGTGTCTACCTCGAGTATAATCGCTTGCTTTGAACCTCTCCACGAACGCCAGGTAAGAACAAGGGCCTTATCATCGTTCTTAGCTCAAAGGTTGTTTGTTTGTCTCTGGTTTTCAGGCCATATACTTTCGTTCTATGCTCAAACCGATAACGTAGGTGTAGGAATCGGTGGTAGCGAAGAATCAACCCTTTGCAGCCCAGAGCTTTTATGAAGTGGAAGTGTTGCCAGACAACCTTGCTGCTGCGTTCTCCAGTCTAGTAGGTGTTAGTAGTGGTAAGGGGAGTGGAAGGATGATACCATTTTGGAAGATGGAAGCTGTGCCAGGAGTTTGGAATTTCTAAAGCTTGCCCGGCGGGATCAAGCAATTGTTCGCAGTGGCAACTGGTAAGTTCTCATGTTTGGTTTCTCTCTCGAATGACAAGGTTTGTTCCAGGATAGTGGCTGTGAGGCTGTGAAAAGTTGTCTTTGCTGCGAATGAATCCTGCCAACTTGTGAGCGTAGCTTGCGGCTCGAGGGAAAAGCGAGTGTTCGCGAGCGACGAGCCGGAGGGTGATCGAGCGACGCTTAAGCTCGAACTGCTGACTGGAAAGCAGGAGCTTTCTCTTGATGGAGCAAGGGGCACTGCGAGAATTCGCCAACGTCTATGGAGACACCGAGAAACGGTTCATCATGTTCGACCGTAGCGGTGACAAGGGCCGCATCATGCTGGAGCCCAATCGCTTCTTCGAGTTCAATCCCAGCACTCCTCCCAACGGCGAGGGGCCGGAAGCTGGCGAGTTTCACCGGGTATACAGGGAGGCCATGGCCTCGTTCGCAGCATTCCGCAGCATGCGCGAGACGAACAGTCCGCCGGTCACTCTCTGCCACATCGGGGACGTGAAGGATTCCGACAGCAGCGTAAGCAAGCTCAGCTGGGACCACCTTCGCGACGACGACGACGAGCAACAAAGCAGTGTTCGCGAGGAGGACTCGGAAGACATCGACGCCTTGCTATACTCCGATGGCGACGAAGGCCTGCTCGAGGAGGTGGAAGAAGAAGAATGCAGCACTGGCCACACTCCTCTCAGTGAAGTCACCCGGGACGAGAGCAGCGACGAGATCACGTCCAGCTTCCACGCCGAGAACTCGAACCGAGCAGTGGAGCAAGAGGCGATTTTGGCCGTGGCGAGCTACAGTAACCGCAAGAGGCAGCGGAGCTTGGTGGTCAGGCGGAGGAAGGAGATGAAGAAGCAGCGCAAGGAGAGGATCCGGCAGACGGTGAAAGCGCTCCAGAGCATCGTTCCGGGTGGTGATAGCATGGATCCGGCGATCGTTCTCGACGAGGCCATCCTCTACATGAAAGTTCTCCAGATGAGAGTCCGCCAACTCGAGACCACCAGGCAGGAGGACTTGTCCAACGCGGCTAGAGCTTGAAAGAAAGGTTTGTGTGTTTGTGTGTGAGCGCTCTATGGTTTGTGTGTTTGATTTCTATGTTTATGTTTGTGTCTTTGATCTTAGGTGTTTCAATTCCATGGTTTGTGAAAGCTAGCCACGTTTTTTCCTTGTTTGTTTAATATTTTGTTGGTTGTGGAAGTGTGATTGATATTAATTCCAGTTTGGTTTGAGAGCTCACGCGCAAGACTACAGGAGAAATGTTCGCAAACACTCCTTGCTCACCACCACCACCTTTCTTCTCTCTTTTTTTTAGTGCTTTTGGAGAGGGATGTGTTTGATTGATTGAAAGCTTCTTCTTCCCCCCCGGCGTGGGCTGTATAAAAAACTCGCTCGCCCCAGGAACAGCTGGTGTTTGTATGATGAAGCTATTGGTGGTGGGCTTTTGGATAGATTCCTTCTTTGGGAGAAAAACTTCCTTCTTTCTCTTTCCTGTTTCCTCGCGGAAAGCCTGGCGGTCTGTTGCTCTGCTGTGCCGTCTTTGCCTGGTTTAAGCAGGAATCTTAGACGAGAAAAGAGGAAGAATGGCGAGCACTCCCGCAAGTGCTATACCTCGCTAGTGCGCGACTGGCGATAAAAACACGCTTCCAAAGGGCTTATATTCTCTACTCGCTCGCCTGTGTTTGTGTGTGTGTTCTTTTGTCGACTTTCGGGGCTATAGGTGTGGACTTTTCCTGGGAACGAAAAAACAAAGTAGCAAAGTGTGAGAGAGAAAGAGGGAACAAGTAACAAAGGAACCTACGTTTTCTCTGGCGATGGATTGATGCTGCTGCTGCCGCTGCCACTCTCTGGTGGCCTCCAGTCCTCCCAGCCTTCTTCTGGCTCCTCCAAGCAGCGCTTTCGCTTGGTCTGGAGATTCAACACTTTTGCTACTTCGTGTAGTCCTCCCCACTTCTCCAGAGCACGGGCTATGTCGTACCTCCCTACAAAAGTTCCACGAGTCCAATCACTTGTCCATCAAACAAGCATTATATAAGGATTCCTACCTGCGCGCTCTAGAGTTCTCCTGCTCGGCATCCTTGAGGGATCACTCCTGAGCTTCTTTTGGAACAGCTGAATCTGGAAGTTCGAGCTGGAGTCAAACCACGAGCGAGTCAATCACAGAGATTAATTTTGTTACCTCTCGCTTAAGATTTTCACTGTTTTGCCAGAAGCCTCTGGGCTTTCGCCGCTTGTACGCGAGACTCATGTTGAGCCTCTCTGCTATAGAACGGAATCCACCAAAACGACGAATGGCCTTCTCCAAGTCTACACGCCCGTTCTTACGGAGCTCTGCCCTCACTGGCATCACCCTCTCCTTTCCAGCTTTCGCTACAAATCCCTCGAGCTCGCGTTCCAGAACTTTGATGTCCGTCTGGAGACCCGGCACTGGCTTTCGCTTCGGATTCTTAAAACTTTCGTCGGCGGGCTCTCGAACCTGTGGAGGCGGTGGTGGCGGTGACACGTTCTCTTTGGCAATGTAGCAGCCGTCACCTAGCTCGACTCGAGCTCTTATAGCACAGAGGTTCTCGGGCAGATCTTCGTAAACAATCTGCCAAGAAAGTAACACAGTTAATAGAAAAAAACATTCCAGAAAACAGGGAAGGCGTGCAAACCTCTTCGATGATCTCCCGTGGAAGCAAAAAGTCGTTATGCATCTTCATGTCCACCGAGTACCTCAACAAGGTATGTTCCGCTCCAAGGGATTCCAGAGTCCATTTGCCACTGAACACATCAAAGTCACCTTCTACCTGTTGGAAAGTGATCTCGTTTGGTGGCAGCTCCTGCAACTCCAGAACGACGCGAGCATGGAGAACCATGTACAACAAACATTTGCATCCCTCCTGTCCATAAAACAAACCGTAATCAATTTGTTCGTTGGGAAATATTAGATAAACAATTATACCTGAAGCACTCGAGCGTGATTACCGTGTCGTGAGACGATCTTGCTGCTGCTGAGGTTCGGAACAAATCTAAAAATGACGGAGTGTGAGCTAAAACACAATTTGAGGCCGGGTCTTACTCCGAGAGCGTCTCATAAGACGTCAAAACATTCCATACGTCTTCCATAGAGCCTGCGATCGTTACAGCTGCCACAACTCTCCAGAAGCGCCCATCTTCCTACAAAATCTAAGATTTCTTGAGTTAATACGCTTCCACGCGACCATGGCCTACCTCACTTAGACGTCTCAAATGCACTTCATCGACAGTACATTGTTTGTCAGACTTGCAAACACGCTTGATTTTGGTAACAGACTCGTTGTCCCATCTCTGAGCATATTTCCTGTCGTCTGTTTGCACGAAGCTTGTCACCTTTGTGTCAGTGGATTGGGTAACTTTGGACACGATGCTGTGAATTGGAGCGGCAACCGACATGCCGCCATCTGCAGGATATTTGATGACGGAGCGTTGGTTCTTCTCTGCCCTTTCCGCAATTGCACGCAGATTTACCGGAAGATCCGACTTGATAATACCTTCCACGAAAACACCAGGAAGTAAAAGACGGGGAATCACATTGACTTCATAGTGCAAATCTGTGGTTCCCGGCCTGACAGCAAAACTCGTTAGGACTGAGGCAAAGTTCGAAGATAAGAAAGAAAGGTATTACCTCGTGCCAGCCTGCAAAAGCCATCTTCCAGCATATTTTTTGAAGTCCCCGTCAACCATACAGAACTGGAGGGATCTCCCATCAGTCTGTAAAGTAAAAAGCACAAACAAACGCTTTAAAGACAATGTGTACGCAAAACACACGACATACCAAGTGAGGAAACTCTTCCAAGTCAAGAACCACGGTTGCTTCGATATGCCAGTACATTGCCGTGTGGAGGCCCCTCTGGAGCAGCCAAATCCGACCAGGATACGGGCAGGGTATCCTTGCACTGGAATGAAAATGAGCGAAAGAACACAAAGAGAGAGAGAGCGGTTACCTGTGAATGAGATTGGGAATAAACTCCGCAAGCCGCTCGTAATCCGTGAGGACTTCCCACACTCGGTTTATATCAGCTTCGATGGTTATGGTGGCGCTGATGAATCGCTCTCGCCATGAAATCACGTCAACTTTGCACTCGACATGGTATTTCTCGGCGTCCGAGCACTCGTCGTCGCCCCTCCTTCCAGATCTCCTCCTCCAGCTTATCTGCTCTTCAAAATTCTTGTAGATGATGCTGGCCGGACAGCAAACTCTTCTCGAGATCAAGTCCGTCACCAGAATTCTTTGGATCCTGGCCATGTACGCCGCTTGGAAGTCTTTCCATCGCTTGGAGCAAGCCACACCGAGCCTTAGATTCGTTAGCTGCTCCTGGAGCTGTCTCAACCATAGGATGAAAGATCCCACACGGTCCCAGAATCCAAGCTCTTCTCTCAATTCAACCAGCTTGATCACGGACTCCTTTCCAGAAAAGAGCTCGATCTCCTGCTTGACAGTAACCTCGTTCATCCAGAAATCCGGAGAGTTCCCGTGTATAAATTCCATCCAAATGCGGCTTTCCTTCTCTCCTGAGCTTCGCAGCAAAGCGATGGCCTCGTGAAGAGCATTGTTTGCCTCCTCTCGCAAGTGCTGATTGTAGAGCTCGTTGATAATCCAGTCCATTGCTCCACTACTCTGGATTTTCTCCCTGCGGCCTCCATTCCTGCCGCAAATCTGCCTGAACTGTAGCCCCTTTCGGCAAAATTGGACAGACCTAGCCCCAGGAACAGGGTAGCTTACTGCGAAGTAGCCGCATTCCTCGAGAAACGCCCCATCTCTACCCGGATTCACAGCTTCCAGCTGAAGACTCACTCCTGATCCAGCATTCCCCATCGCCATCGCCATCGAAGAAGAAGAACTTCCAATGCATCGCCTTCCACTTAGGTCGAGTATGAAATTTGTGGCCAAAATTTCTCAATCCTATCGCGAATCGACCCCGTAACCTCCAGAGGTAAGGCGGGAAAATTTCAAACGTAACATTTTAGGGCTCTTATTTAGCGTTTCGAGGAATTCGCGCAGGAGAAAATCTGTGAATTGGATTGCATGACATTTTAGAAAATCATGGATTTTAAATTAAGATGCTATTCATGTTTCTCACAATGTCGCAGTAAGATCTTGTGCGGTAAATCTCAAACTATTTAGCATTTGCCTATAAAGGGCACATTTGTAAGGACAAAGCGGCATTTGCCAGGACTGGGCATTTGCTGCAGGGAAAGACTTTAATCGATGGCACTCGAGAGTGCTTCTAAAGTTATTCTACGCGTCTTTCTCTTCCACTTATCGAGAGCGACGATCGTTATTGTTATGCTAAGATTTTCGATTCGAGAGATTCGAGATTGGAATGTCTGGACAGCTATGGGGATTGGTGACGATAAGCGAAGTGCTGGCTTTCGATATCACTGCTGTGATCGATCGAAGGGAAGAACCGATGAGACGAAGAGCACGACGCCATCTGCGAGCGATCGATCGGGAGTGGAAAGTGGCTCGAGGGATTTGCCGGAGGAGCGACTGCTAGTGGGCTGTGGAACCCGAGGAGCTCGAGCGAGTGGACTTGGGTCTTGAGGAACTTGACGTAGTGAATGGCCTCGTCCAGCATCGAGACGGTATCCATCTTTGTGCCTCCTGGAACCAGTCGCTGGAGCGTCCGGATCTTTTGGCTGATTCTCTCGCGCCGGTGCCGCGCCGCCACGCTCTGTGGATCCTTGGAAATCCTCGTGTTCCTCCTCTTGGGCTTGCTCCACGATTCCTCTTCTCGTTGTTCCTCCTCCGCCATCGCCGAGCGCTTGCAAGTATAGAAAAGATTCTTCATTGCTACTCCGCCGCTACTACTGCTCGCTCCAAAGACGAAGAGCTCCTCTTGGCGATGATCGAGTGGAGGAGCTTGTAGCGTGATGGGCTTGCTCCTGTCGGGGGAATGTAGTGATCTAGAGGCTTGATTGTAGCTGCTGCTATCGACGCTCGGTGATGGATTGGAAGTGAAAAGACTGGAGCAGTGTGCGAAATCCATACTTGGCGTGAAGGTTCTCGTGGATGATGATATGATCTTGGAATTGTCCTCTACTCTCTCGTCGCCGGCGATGACGCAACTAGTCGCATACTCTGCCAAATCTTTCCAGGCTTGACGATCATACATTTGGTGATCAAAGCACTGGAAACTATAGTCGAGGAACTGGAATTGATCGCCATTGACAAAGCGACAATGATGATCATCATAGCTGGACATAGCTCTCACAAGTTCCTACAAACTCCTTGATTTCTCAAGGTTGGAACAATGATCGAATCGGTGGTGGCTGTCACCTGCGCTTGTACCGTAGTTTGTTGCTTGGCGCAAGATCAAAACAATGTGGACTCTTGTGGTGTCACGACGCGAGATAAAGAACAAGAGAGCTCTCCAAATCTTTCTCTCTTCTTTGGATCTTAGCTTTCTACTACTTGGAGCGATGGAGATGGAGCCAAGCCTCTCGCGAGCGCAGGGTTATAAAGCGCCAGTGGATTGAAGATGCCAAAACGCCAAAATGACAGTCAGTGAGACAGTTGCTCGACGGATGCTCATTAATGTTGTGAGGACCATCTTCTTCTCACTTTATATTTTCTATGAATAGTTTCTCAGATGATCTCATGGTTTGGAGATTGAGATTGTGGAGGTTTGTTTTGTTTGTTGTATCGTTGGATCGGCGTACGTAGAGTTTCAAATGTGCACATGATTGTGCTGCTCTACTGGTGCCAAGTTTTTTTCTACACTAAAAAAGTACATACATACACGCCCAGCTTTTTCATGTACACGTCGATCACTTCCATCCAGGCAAGCAACGTACTCACTCAATGGACACAACTAATACTCTTTTTTCTTTACTATTTATTTACTTTTTCAATATTATTTTTGCACACATCTCTGTCTCTGCTAGAAGATTCCTGGCATTTGAAATTTTGCATTTATCTATACATCAACTTCTCGTCTCTCGCTGGTTAGTACGCCGACCCTCCGTCAACTTCCCCACAGCTTTGAAAAGATTTGGGGCTTCGAGCCTCTGACCCAACATTCTGGTTTAGGGTTTACAAAAAGGTGGCAAAATAAATTGACCTAAAGGCTGGAGGACCACTATATATATGTTTATTCAAAAAGGCGGAGCTCATTCCAATCGAGTAAAATTCGCCCCAATTGTTTAAGTCCACCTTGAGGCCTTGCACGAGCCACGTAGGCCCCATGACAACTCACAGATGGATTGTAATGTCACAGACCTGGCAAGGAATGGCATTTCTCCTGCGCATCATTGTCTGATAGATTCTTTTAGGGCAAAGACTCTAGGTAGGTAGGCAGAAGAGTTATCCGAGTTGGTAAAGTTAAAAATGGAGGAAGTGGACTTTAACCTTTATTACTTAGCTGGCATTACCTTTTTAGCTCCGTGTGCCCTAGCTAGCCCTAAAGGAGGAAGCTATGGCTTGGGTGAGCTCATGGGCGGACGAATCCGAGGCGGCGGACGAGGCGGCCGCGGCGGCGGGGGGCGGATCGGTAGGGGCGATGCCCGAGGACGCATTTCCACCCCTGGCGGTGGCAGCCAAGCCCGGCGGCGCCGGCGGCGGCAAGAAGAAGAGCAAGGGTCAGACGATGACGCTGGCGGCGTTCACGACTGGCAAGGTCGTCGGCCCAGGTGCGAAGCGATTCACCCCTTCCTCTTCCCAGATTTTCATGTCGGATAGCAATCGCCTCACATCCGAGGAGCTCATGTTCCTTCCCACTGGCCCCAAGGAGCGAACTCCGGAGGAGCTCTCCGAGCAGCGCCTCGGCGGTGGATTCCGGAGCTATGGCGGCTTCCGTGGCGGCGATCGCGATCAGCGCGACCGGCATCCTTCCAGGGATCCGGGTTTTGGCGGCGCCGCCATGCCGCCGCCTCCCTCCCGAGCCGATGAGAGCAGCGACTGGTTCTCCAGCAAGCCAGCGATGATGATCCGGCCTTCCTCGCGGGGCAGCGATCGAGACGCGCCGAGCAAGGCTGACGAGGTGGACGACTGGAAGGCGGGAAAGAGGTTTGTCCCGTCGGAGAGAAGCTTTGGCTATGGCGGGAGAGATGGTGGCGGCGGCGGTGGGAGGAACTCGTGGTCTTTTCGAGATCCAAAGCCCGAGATGGACAGATGGTCCGGCGGAGGCGATGAGAGAAAGGTGGCGATGGAGAGACCGCGACTGAATCTACAGCCGAGAAGTTTGCCGGTGGATTCCTCCCGGCCTTCGAGCAGCCACTCGAGTCGTCCAGGAACACCGGGTGATACTCCTCAAGTTCAAGTTGGCTCTGGTAAAAACTCGACTTCCGCCACCACCACCACCACCACTGCCAAGCCGCGATCGAATCCTTTCGGAGCTGCCAAGCCGAGAGAGGTGGTGCTCGAGGAGAGAGGACAGGACTGGAGAAAGCTTGACTCGGAGCTCGATCAAAAGAGGTGCGTTTCTCTCCCACATTCTCATTTCCAGACGTGATGCATGGCTGTTTTGCTTGATCCTCCTCGCAGGTACGAGAGCAAAGAAGAGACGAGGCTCAAGGAGGAGATCAACGCTCTCAAGGATCTGATCGACAAGGAGGGCTCCGAGGCGGCGAGAGAGGAGCTGGAGAAGAAGGAGCTGGAGCTGGAGCAGCTGGTGAAAGATCTTGAGAGAAGCGCGCGCGTCTCGGACCGGCGACGCGGCGGAGGCAGGGATGATCCGCAGAGGCCGCCATCGTCGCAGAGCAATCGAAACGGTGGTCCTCCGGAGATCTGGAGGCGGCCGCCGACGCCAGCCATGTCGGACAGTGGCAACTTCGAGCCGTCTGGAGGATGGAGGCGGCCAAGAACACCGTCTTCCATGCACGAAGGTGGAGAGATGGGATATCGGCGAGGAGAGAATGGCGGTAGGCCGAGAACCCCGGTGTTTCACGACGAGGAGTGGAGGCAGCCGAGCTGGAGAGACGATCGTCCAAAGTCCGCGCAGCCCGATATGTGGAGCCGGCCGAGAACTCCGTCGGTTCACGAGGATGAATGGGGCAAGGAGAATGGGAGGCGATCGAGCTATCAGTTCCATCACCAGCAGCAGCCCTCGAGGAATCGCTGGTAAGATGGTGGCGATCGATCGAGCTCGAGATTTCGCAGGCCTGTTTTTTTGCTTTACTCGTTTCTTTAGCTTCTTTTCCAGGCTTGTAAGTAATATTATCTGTGACACTTCGTTTTCTTGTGCAAAGTAGAATGTTCCGTCAGCGAAAGGGATATTTCGTTAAAATAATGTAAAGTGAGAATGTTCTCTTAGCAGGCCAGATATTCCGTTAAACTGATTTAGCGGGCGAAGAATATTCGCGCTTCGTCCACAGCTTGCAGTTTGGGGAGTCCGTCATTGCTTTCCTTTTTTCTTCTCTCTTCTCTCTCTTTCGATCTTCTCTTTCTTCTTCTGCCATGAGCTCGATTGTGGCAGCGCACGATCAAAGACGTGTGAGATCGTTTCCTTCCACTCCGGCATTCAATCGATCACCCTTCAATCCATTCTTCCACATCAAATCGCCTTATAACCGATCTCCCTTCAGTCCATTCTTCTACATCAATTCCCCCCATGGGGTGTTTTTCCAGCAGCCGCAGAAGCAAATCCTGAGCTTCTCCGCGAGCAGCAGCCCCAGCAGCGTCAAGATCGCGCTCACTCGCAGCAGCGATCCATCGTCCCTCGCCTGGAGCGAGCCACAACACATCTTGGTCCTCGCAGACGCCACCAAGGAACTAAACACCGATGCGCTCGCCTGGACGCTGGAGCTCGTCGCCAAGCCCGGAGACACGGTGACGTTCGCTGGGATCTTGCCTTGGCTCTGCCTTCCACGTAAGTTTCTACAACCCAGTCGCACTTGGTCAGATTAGTCCAACGTGGTCAACTTTGGATTCATTCTACCTACAGTGCTTGTAAAGAGATGGTCGGAGCTTCGCATGATCGATGAGAAGTCGTGCACTACCCGAGAAGGGGAGGTCCAGCTCAAATCCGCGGAGTTCTTGCGCATCCAGGATTCCTACCGTACCAAAGGAGTAAGAACTCATGATGATTCGCTATCGAATCGATTTGATCCATCGCTCCAATTGGTGTTTCCAGGTGAGCTTGGACATCATCATCGAATCGGGCTACCCTCCTCGCGACGTCGCGGTGCAGCTGGCGCTCAAGACCCAGGCCAAGTGGATCATCTGCTACAGGTGATCGATCGATCTGGGCTACAAATCGCTCTAATTGCCCCACCACAGGTGTATGAACAAGAGGATGGATCAATGCCTGCTGTTCCAGAAGCTGGGCGGGAAGAACATCGTCTTCCTCAAGAGCAAGGACGAGGGCAGCGTCTCCTTCGCCGCCAAAACGCCCACCGCGCCATCAATGGCACTGCTGTACGCGCGCGAGGAGCCCGGATTTTGCAGCCCACACTGCGAATTGGGCCATCTAGGCCTGCAAGACATTGGATTGAAAGGATTGAAAGTGCCCAGCCATGTCACGCTGGGCGAATGCCTCACCAAGAACAAAGCGAAATAAAAAAACACTCGTTTTTCGAGTGATGACGTGGATGGGAAGATGCAGTGATGTGGAGATTCCATGCAGTGACGTGGCAATGACGCGGCGGCGGCCTCAATCAACGCCAGCGGGCCGGCTCGGTCCCCGACGCACTATACCGGGTATTGCCGGTTAGAACCAGCGGTCCCTTACGCACCTGGCACTTAAACCGCCGGTTTGGGAAAATACCCGGCGGTCCGGACGTGACGACGCAATGGCCAATTTGCTTATTGGCCCATTGGCAATGGCGATAGAAAGTATTACAGCCGTCTTTACTGTCCGAGCTAACAAAGATGCTCTTCCGCGTGGATTTCTTGACCCAGATCTCACGGCGCGGCGGAGGAGCGGCGATCATACCCGATCGCCCGGATCGATCGATATTCGCGGCGCAGGGTTTTGATTCAAATCTTTGGAGGCGGCCGCCATGGCGTCCAAGCGCATCCTCAAGGAGCTCAAAGATTTGCAAAAGGATCCCCCCACGTCGTGTAGCGCCGGTAAGCGGCCGATCGATGTTCGCGATTCTAGGGTTTATGTGATGGAATGGAAAATTTCTCCTGTTCTTCTCTCCCAGGGCCTGTCGCGGAGGATATGTTCCACTGGCAAGCGACGATCATGGGACCTCCCGATAGTCCCTACGCGGGTGGGGTTTTCCTGGTGACCATCCACTTCCCTCCGGATTATCCATTCAAGCCTCCAAAGGTTCTTGTAGCGCCAGGGACTTTCCATTCCAGTGCTCTGTAGTGCTTGAATCACACTCAAACTCGTGATCTCATCGTGATTCCTGTCTTGTAGGTTGCGTTCCGGACGAAAGTCTTCCACCCAAACATCAACAGCAATGGAAGCATCTGCCTCGACATCCTCAAGGAGCAGTGGAGCCCCGCATTGACGATCTCCAAGGTGAGAAAGCTCTGGCTTTTGCTTTTCACTCGATCAATCCATCACTCGTCGATCTTGGTTTCTTCTTCCCAGGTGCTGCTCTCGATTTGCTCACTACTCACTGATCCAAACCCCGACGATCCTCTGGTTCCAGAGATCGCCCACATGTACAAGACTGACAGAGCCAAGTACGAAGCCACCGCGAGAAACTGGACCCAGAAGTACGCCATGGGCTGATCGATCCAACCGAGAAGACGAAGAACAAGAAAAAAAACAAAGCATCCAAATCGACGAAGCCCATCTCTAAGGTACCACCACGCCAATCGAATCGACACGAATATTCCACGCTGTTTGAATTGAATAGAAGAGAAGCCCTAGCTCTAGCCCTAAAAAAGTGGTGGTGACGTGTCACCCGTAACGAAAAGGCCCAGCCCAAAATGCGGTGGGGCGCTAGGGTTCGTTCGCATCAATCTTTTTATGGTGCGCGCGTGATTGTGGCGCCGCGCCCCACGATCCCTGCTCGCGCGCCGCGCTGCCGACGAATTTCCGGGGAGGGATCGTCTCTCCGGGGGCGCGCCGCTCTCTCGCGCGCCTGTGGGTGGCCGATTGATCGGCTATGGCGTCGAAGCGCATCCTCAAGGAGTTGAAGGACTTGCAAAAGGACCCTCCCACGTCGTGCAGTGCCGGTACGTGACCGAAACTCTAGGGTTTAGTGTGAGCTCCAGGGCTTGAATTCTTGTTGCGAGGGATCTCGTCACTCCAGGGCCCGTGGCGGAGGATATGTTCCATTGGCAAGCGACGATCATGGGGCCGCCCGACAGTCCTTACGCTGGCGGGGTGTTCTTGGTCACCATCCATTTTCCTCCCGATTATCCATTCAAGCCTCCCAAGGTCGAGTACATCTTCTTCTTTCGTGGTTTCTTCGACTAAAGCTTTTTGTTGTTCTATCAGGTGTCCTTTAGAACCAAGGTTTTCCATCCAAACATCAACAGCAATGGAAGCATTTGCTTGGACATCCTCAAGGAGCAGTGGAGCCCCGCATTGACGATCTCCAAGGTTCTTTTCACTTCGATTTAGCTCCTAGCTTTCAGTTTTGTGATGGAGAGAGGGATTTGTTTGATGCCTGCCAGGTGCTCCTGTCGATTTGCTCGCTACTCACGGATCCAAACCCCGACGATCCTTTGGTCCCGGAGATTGCTCACATGTACAAGACCGACAGAGCAAAGTACGAGGGGACTGCGAGAACCTGGACGCAGAAGTACGCCATGGGCTGAGCGCGTATAAGCGTAGCGTGAGCGATGAGCGAGCGTGTAAGCAAAAGTTTGTATATGATTCCTTTGATCTAAGGTGAGAAGAAACATTTCGATCGATCGATCGATCGTCTAGAGTGCTGGCCTCTTTCTCTTTGGCCTTGGCGTCTTGTCTTTGGTCCAGGTACCCCCGCATGGGTTACAATGGTACCTGGGCTGCCCGGGCTTGTTATTGTTGAAATCGTAGAACCTCGTGTACCACTTGACCCCACACCAGGGGCAGTCGATTTGATCGGGCAGCGTCGCCCTCACCTTCGCTAGCAGCGCTCGCAGCTCGGGCGTCACCTTTGAGGACGCGTTCTTCCTCGGCCTCTTGGGCTCGCTCGAAGACTTTGGCCTCTTGGGCTGGCTCGAAGTCCTGGGCCTCTTGGGCTCGCTCGGGCTCTTTCTCTTGGGCTTGCTCGGAGTCTCTGGCCTCTCGGGCTGGCTCGGAGTCTTGGGCTTGTTCGCAGGCTCTTTGGGCCTGACTCTCGCCGTCACTGGCTTTCCACACCAGTCGTCCATGGCGCAGAAGCTTTTGAGAGCTTCCGGGTCCCAAGGAGGGCAAGCCAAGCCTCCCTCGTATCGCTCTTCGTCGCCTTTGTCCTCCAGATCATTGAGCGTGACATTTCGCATGGTTGGGATCACCTCCCACTTACTTTGATCAGCCCATGGAGAGCAAATTAAATCTTCCTCGCCCATCGCCGCTAAATGATCATCCATCTCAGCTAAAAACCCTTCCCACCCCTCAGCTTCCTGCGCCTTCTTCTTCATGATGCAATAAACCCTAGTGAACACATTCTGGGTCCACTTATTTATACTTTTTCTCTAAAAGGTGCCTTTTTAATTAGTTAAATTATAAATGAAAAAGACCAATTATTATGATGATTAAAGTTAAAGTATGATGATTATAATTAAAGGATAGATTGCAATGATAGTTGGTTATAGTTAAAGTATTAATTATAACTATGCTAACTTTAAGCTTTACTAAGTTTTGCGCAGGATGCATGATGTTGTGAGGAGAAACGGCGATGGGCGAGAGGTTTTGCACAGGGAATCGGCGTTGCAGCTCATCAAATCATGCCGCACCCTCGCAGCTGCCAGGGAAATTCATGCTCGGATCCGCCACTTGCTCGATCCGTGCGACGTCTTCCTCCTCAACACCATCATGCAGATGTCTGGGAGGTGTGGCAGCGCTCGCGACGCCCATCGCCTCTTCCTTGCAATGCCTTCGAGAAACTGTTTCTCGTGGGAGCTCATGCTGTTTGCATTTACCGCGAATGGGGAATTGGGCTATGCAAGAGACTTCTTTGAATCCATGCCTGATGTCTCTAGTGTTTCAATGACGGCTCTTCTTAGTGTCTATGCCAAGCACGGAAATATTGATTACGCTAAGTTGATATTTGACAAGATACCAGAAAAGGATTTAATTGCATGGTCTACCATGGTTGGGGCATTTGCCACTTGTGGGCATCTGCAGCAGGCAAAGCAGGCGTTTTGTTCTATGCCTCTGCGTGATCTCGTCTCCTGGACGTACTTGCTCGAAGGTTATGGAAGATCCAGTGAGACATATTGTGAAGCAAAAGATTTTTTTTGCTCAATGCCCGAGCACGATCTCGTCGCCTGGACGAGCATGCTCGGCGTTTGTGCCGCAAATGGGCATTTGCATGAAGCTCAGAGCGTGTTCGAAGCAATCAAAAATAAAGATATTGTTTGCTACACCGTGATCTTGTCTGCTTACGCTCAAGCAAGCGATCTGGAAGAAGCCGAGAGAATGTTCCAAAATTTGATGCCCGAGCACAGCATTGTTTCTTGGACTGCAATGCTTACAGCATATGCCCAGAACGGGGATATTCTGCGAGCCACGCGTTTGTACGAGAGAATGCATGAGCACGACGTGGTATCTGGTACTTGCATGGTGGCCGCATATTCCCAGGCTGGGCATCTGGAACTTGCCAAGCATGAGTTTGATACCATGCACGAGAGGAATATTGTTACGTGGAATGCTTTGCTGGGCGGTTTTGTGCTAAGCGGGTGTTTAGACGACGCGAAGAGGATTTTTGATCGGATGGCAATGTGGGATGCCGTGGCCTGTACGGCCATGGTAACGGCATATTCTCATGCGGCCAAGCTCACCGAAGCCGAGATTCTCTTTTATTCTGCCAAAGACCGCAGCATGATTTTGTGGAACTCGATGCTGTCGGCGCACACCCAAAACTCGCCATTGCAAAGGGCAGTTGCGTTTTTCAATGAAATGCCGGAGTGTGATCTGGTCTCTTGGAATGTTATTTTTGCGGCATTTGCCCGTCACGGAGATCTGGAAGATCACAAACTTCTGCTCCAACTTTTCCACGAGATGGGATCAACGCTTGCTCCGGACGAGATCTCCTTCACTTGCGTGCTCGTCGCGAGCGCTCACTTGGGCGGCCTGTGCTCGGCAAGAGCCCGATTCTGGTCAATGGTCCTGGACTTTTGGTTGACCCCGTCAAAGCAGCACTATTGCTGCGTCGCCAGCTTGCTTGGGCGATCTGGGCATTTGGAACAGGTGGAAGAGCTGCTGGCCACCATGCCATTTGTGCCGGATGCTGTGGATTGGAGGAGCTTGCTATGGTCATGCAAACTTTACAAGAAATTTGGACAAGGAACTCGCGCTGGAGCCATGGCTTTTTATCTGGAGCCTAAAAATCCCGTGGGCTATGTGTTCCTGTCAACCCCGTGAATTTTTTGAGTGAGAGAGTAAATAGTTTAACACCTTTTAGCTCAAGATCGCCCAACAACATCGAACAGGAGTATACCCCGGAAAGCCCCCAGAAAGCCGAAGATGGCGAGATCATCATTTATCGAAGCTGTAAGAGACTTCTGCATGATCATGGACAGGAGTACCCCGGAAAGCCCATGATGGCGGCCAGGAAAGCTGGATCTTCACTAGTCGAAGCTGTCAAAGACTTCAACAGTCGTGATCCTGGTCCCGAGAGCCGAGAGCACGCGATCGATCGCCCAGAAGATGGCGAGATCATCACCGCAAACAAGCCACAGATGGTGAGGCGAAGAAAGTAGGCACGAGGAAGAACGCGTCCTCAAAAGTGACCCTGTGGCTTGTTGCGGGCTCTTTGGCCTCCTGAGCTGCGAGAGATGAAGGAAATATGGGTCAGGGCCATGAGGTTCTGATTGAAATTTTCATGTAACATATACTTACACACATATGAGCAAAAGAAAGAAAATATATGTGAAGTAATATTAATTTATTTATTGGTTCAATAAACAATGCCATTATAACCATCTAGAATGGCATTCTTGATCTTGTTAAATGCAACCTTATACCAAGGAGTAGCGAAATTAAATTCCTTAGCAGTTATTAAGTGCTTGTAATTCTTCCTTACCACTTGATAATCTTTTCTTTCTCTCTTGATTATTTTCTTGTTAGCTTGATTCCGGCTATCACTCTCTTCATCTTCATCTTCTTCCTCTAAGGATTCTTCCTCAAGATAAGTTTCATCCTCAGATTCATCGGAGACACTTAACACAACTGTAGTATTCTTGGATAAAGTCCTGGAGGATTGCTTAGATTTTATCCTGGAACCCTTGCTTCTGGACTTAGTGCCATTAGTCACTGTTCCCCTTTGCCTCTCCGGTTTCTTGGGTGGTACAAATCTAATCCTGCCACCTTTGGTGAATTTCCGTTTGCACGAGTTGCATCGATATCGCGGCTGTGAAGCTTTTTTGTTGTTGTTATAACAAAATTTAGTGTCAACAGAGCTGCAACGAGGGCATATTGTGGGTTCTTCATCTTGGCATTTATGCTGTGAATTATACTCTTGTACATTATTGTTACTAATTAATAGAGATTAGAAGATCCTTAGCAAAGAAATTCTCATTCATACATACATACCTTGCCACGATTGAAACCTAAACAGAATGAAGAAAAAACTAAATTTAGTACGATCGATTATCTTATCCTCATAATCGTTCCTAATTAAGCTATAAGATTTTTTCATGATTTTTACTAGAATAAGTAATGGTTCTGACTAAATTATAAACATAGTGTGGTTTGTACAAATCATATATTTCTTTTTTTCCTAAGGAATTAACCTAAAAGCTCTCTATTTATTTATCTCAGAAATTTTATGCATTTACCCGGATATCTTTGGTTTGGTTATCTCTAAATAACTTATTGCATTTCAAAGCATGATTAAAGCATTTTATTTACGTAAATTGCATTTCATCATGCTGTCGTTTGAAAAAAGATCTCCAAAGCAATGACGAGTGTGTGACAAGAGCATGACATCACCACCAATTGGAAACAACTCCTTTGCTTCCCAAAATCCATATGTCAATAAGTCTGGGACTTCCAAAGCAAAGCTCCTCCCCGAGGGCCATATAAATAAGTATCCCTCCTCCCCACTTCCAGATATATTTCCCCTGTCTGGATCCCTCTCTCCCTCTCTCCTTTCACTTGCTTGGCTGCTTCAATCCGGATTTCTTCGTTTGATCTCATCTATCCAGTTCTTCCGCTTGTGAATTGCCAATCTTGGAGTGGAGGACAATGCGTTTCTCGAGTAGCAGCAGCAACGGTCTCGCTCATCATGGCTTTTAGCTTTGATTCGTCGGCATCAAGCCCGGAAGAGGTGACTTCCAAGCTCCACACGACTCCACAGTTGATTCACACGCTCATCCACCAATGCCCCGTGCTTGTCATCTGTGCAAGCTCTTGCTGCGTGAGCCTGGTTGTGAGGGAGCTCTTCTCCAAGCTGGGAGTTTGTCCCACTTTGTTTGATATCGATACTGACTGCGAGGATGGAGTAGAGGTAGAAAGAGTTTTAGCGAACTTAGCAGGGAGTAAACAGCCGATACCTCTGATTTTTGTTGGGGGAAAGCTCGTCGGAGGACTGGATCGATTGATGGCTGATCACATCAGTGGCAGGCTCCTCCGCCAGCTGAGCGAGGCCAACGCTTTCTAACGATGGAAAAGCTCAGAAGAAAAGATAAAAAAAACGAAATGTTTTTGTACCTTGTGGCAGCAGACTTCCTCCCATGGAACACTCCACTGCACCAAACATTAAAAAATAGAAGAAAAACACACAGAATAAGAAAAAAAGCACCAACCAGCTGGTTAGCATTAAAAACAACGTGGTACCACACTCCCTCCTCATTTAGTTTTTATCAGCCATAGCCCCGAGACACGCTGAAAGGCTCCACGCGCGTCACGATGGGCTTGAAGCAACCTCGCTGTCCCTCACACACGTTTAATCCCTGCTCGCTGGCCTCTGCTGCCTCGTTGGACCTGGCCTTGTTCAGCGTGCTCTTGATCAGATCTTGGAGGTTGATTTCGAGTAGAACCGGGAGAATCCTGCTCGGAGCAGCAGGCAAGTCAACCGCGGCACCATCTTTCATCGCTGCCGTCGCGTGATCAACATCGTGACTTAGTCCTCCAGCCTGCTCATCGTCCGACTTGTTGCTGGAAGTGCCAGCCGACGTAGTAACTCGGTCACACGAGGCCTCGTTGCCTGATACGTCACCGTCCAGCCGACGGCTTCCCCGAGATCTGTCGTCTTTCACGTCCCACGTTGACTCGTCCGTCTCGTCCAGGCGTGGCTTGACGTTGCGCCCCTGTTGCTGTGACATTACTGTACCAACGCGTGACAGACCAGTGTGATAGTCATCGTGATTGTTATCGTTGCCACTCGAGTTCTCTTTCTTCTCGACGGGAATAGTTTCCATGGCACCCCACCTTCCATCTGGCCAGATTAAAACCGCTGGAATATTGCCAGGCAACGCTTTGAGTATCCTGGAGATAGAAAACAGTGAGCAGGTAGTTTGAACGATGACAAACACAGTGAATAAAAAATCTGGGGGAGGAGATTGCGACAAGCCGACAACTTCACCTTAAAATAAAGCCGTCCACTACGATCTGGGGCCAAGTGGCATCAGAGCCACAATATGGACATCGCCACATTGTAGCTTCTGTTTGTTTATCAATACCGGCTGCAAGCTCCGCATTTTCCTGAAAATTATGCCATCAGCGTACGTCAGGAAACACATGTTAGCGATCGAGAATATAATCACCTTCAAGTAGCACTCCAAGTCAAAGCAAGTTAAGTGCGTGCATGACATTCCTCGTGCAGGGACCTGGAGACAGTATCACTGTTAATTACGAAAACTCTTTCCAGGAAACTTCTATTCCATCCACCTTTAAACGCGACCCAGATAATGGGCACTGCGTAGAGACTGTAAAACAGGACATAGAATTATCGGGATATTTAAAAAGAGAGGAAGACACTCTTACCGGGTACTGCAGTAGCGTCGATGCAAGGAGCAGGATTCTTTTTGAAATAAGGTAGAATCTGTCGTTCGCGCAGAGCCCGTCGAACCTGCTCGGAAGGAATGTGCCATGAATCAGGCATACAGTTCCACTCCAGATAATTAATGTTACCAACCAGCGCATTCACTCCTTCGGACAGCACCAACTCGTTACTCAATTGCTCGTCGTTGTAAACTGCGTATTCATCGGACGAACTTGACAAGGACGGATCATCCGCTTTTCTGGCACGCTGATTGTCACTTTGCATGGGCTGCCAAAAAACAAGTCGTGCTCAAACCCAAGAGAGCATTAAAGAACAGTTGTTACCATGCTCGTTTCGAGAAGAGGTAGATTGTTTCGTGGTTTTGACCGTCTCTCCAGCCATGTCCCTGCCTTTTGTCGCACTTGCTTGCACTGGTATATGCGTTCTTCGAGAATCTCCCACTGGAAAGGAGAGAAACACGCCCAGCTCTTCTCAAGTGCACTACACAGGATGTCCACAGACTTTAGGACCTGAGAGTAAAATACATTAGAAAAAACTACAGTATGAGTTATGTTGTTGAGAAGATCTATAAAGCTTACCTCCGAGTCAGGCAGGATGCTAAGCGTTTGGCACACAAGACTGCAACAAATGACGGGAAGTATCGCGACTATGGCGGTAAAAAGAAAGCGTTGCAAAGCTTGCGGAGGTGGTTTGGTCCTCCTCAACATCTTCAAGAGCCAAGACGCCCACCTTGCGGGGAGCTCTCGCGAGCCTCTTTCCCACCTGCAAAGCATCCTCTCAGGCGCGTCTACTGAGCTCAAAGAGAAACGCAAAACGTTTACCTTTGCAGGATAAACATCTGAGAGACGCCAACTTTGAGATGCTGGACCAGCCTGCGGTGCCGCTCGGAGTGTCCGCGCGAGCTCTTCCGTCCAAACACTCTCTTTTGCCTCCGCAAGATCGCTCGGGCAACATCCTCAAGCGAACCGACCTCGTCATCCCACACGCAAGTCCTTTGGCCTTTCTTCTCCAAGGCCGGCTTGCGAGAGGCAAGCTGATGGAACTTCCTCTTTTTGGCGGCGGCGCTGGGAGGAATGGAGTCCCCGGACGCTAGCACCATAGCTGCCAGATTGAAGAAACTCTCGGGCTCTCCCTCGAACGACGCCAGTGGAAGCGCTCGAGCGGCATCTGGAGCATTTGTCGGGACAATGTCCTGTAACACCCGGCCGCACGAATCCAGGACCTTTCCAGACCTGGAAACGACGTAGGACAGGCACTCTCCCAGCTGAGCGGCAGTCATCTCGATTCTCGATCTACAGTAACTCCTGCAAGAAATCGATCGACATTTCGGTCGGCGCCATCAATATTTCGCCAGAATGCGCCATACCTCTCGATCGAAGCTCGCAAAACCCTAGCACTAGAAAAATCCTGTAATATTACTTTCCCCTTGGGTGACGTGGTCTCATAGGAATGCAGATAATGATCTCGATCACAATGACGTGGACGGCCAGTAAACCGCCACGTTGGCAAGAATCTTAGCCGTCCGATCCGGCCATTCAAGTAAAAAAACTTTAGCAAAGAATAAATACATTGGTATGGTTGGCCCGATTTTTCGCTAAGCCCAACGTCGCTTCCTCGCCGGTCTCTCGTGCTTAAACTCCGACGTATCGGCCTGGATGGAAGCTTTCTCGTTGGTTTTCTTCGTCTTCTCGGCGGAGCTATCGGGCTTTTGCGACTGGAACCTCTCGCGCCTCTTCGCGAATGGATCCACTTTCTCTCCACTGCTCGCTGCCGATGATCCACCCAGAGTCGTCGTGGATCCTTTCACTGGATCCTGGGACCTGGCAGCAACCTTCCCAAGTTTCTCTTCCTGATCATCGATCGTCGGCCTTTCCCTGTTAAGCCTCTCCATCTTGGACCTGCCTTTCCTGTGCTTATCATCGTCATCCCCCTCGTCGGAGTAGTAACTGTCATCTCCTCCCCGGCCGCCGTGATGAGCTTCGCTCCTGGAAGATCGCTTCTTCTCGTGTGCCACCGTTGTCACCGCCGCGGCTGCCTCGTCCTCGGTGGTCTCTCTGGCTTGCACCTGTAAAAAATCCATCAATCAAACCAACACCCTCGGCTAAGTCTCCGGTTTCATCAGTTCATCTGAGCTTGAAAGAGTCACGATTAGAGACGAAAGGCAGAAACGCCAGTCACGTAAACATATATGAGCCTGCCTAGCCGTATGAAAAAAAAGGAGAGAAGAAAGCTGCCTGCCTGCCTAGCATGATCAAAATGCATCATATGTACATACACAGGCAGTCAGCTAGAAAACGAAATCGCAAAAGTATATAACCGACGATGCCAAGGGGGAGATCAGCTTCATGCAGGCGATACGAGTACCTTCTCTGCATGGGCACTTTTCTGATAATCATCAGTCTTCCGCTTCTTCCTCTCCTTTTCATCCAAGTAGTCGGAAGTCGAACCATTTCGCCTGCTGCTATCGTCCCTGCCTCTGCTGCTCCATCCATACTTGTCTCTGTACACCCTCTCTTCCTCCTTGTATCTATCATCCGAGTGTTCTCGTCCGCCACGAGAGCTTCCACCGCGGTGGTCGTACGAGTACTCTTCCTCGTCGCGATAGTCTTTTCGATCAGAGTGCTTACTTCTCCGGCGCAGATACTCGTCTTCCTCTTCATAACCATGGCGTCTGCTCCGATCCGAGTACCTGTCTTCGTCTCTGTCCCTCCTCTCGTAGCCGTCGTCGTAAGCAGACCTTCGCTTCTGAGGGTCATCCCGGTCTCTGTCCCGTTTCCAGGACTCCTCCCTGTCCTTCCGGGAATGGTACTCCTCTGCCTTGTCTCTTTTCCGTCCTTCGTCTTCCCTTCTGCTGCTGCGCGAGACATCTTCCTCCTTCCCTCTCGACCTTCGAGCTTCCTCTTCCTTCCACCTCACGTCGTCCCGTTCTCGATAAGATTTTTTTGCCCAGTCCTCATCCTTCCGTTGATCTTTTTCTCCTCGCTCCGATCTTTTGTACTTGTCGTCGCTGGCAGCTTTCGCCTGCCATGAGTGCCGGTCTCCTTCGCCATTATTTTCCTTGCGACTTCGATGCCTGGACTTGTGATCTTCGTCATCACTGTAGCTGGACCTCTCGACCTCACTCGGTTTTTTGTGCCCCTCCTTTTGTGAACGTGAATCGGAGTATCTCCGTCCCTGGTCATGTTTGTCCTCAGAAAGAGGTTTCTTGTGCTCATCAGACTTCTCTTCGTCCTCAGCCTTCGCCTGATCTCGACTGCCTCTCGAACGTCTGTCATCCTTCGCATCCCTGCTATCTGAATGCTTGCGGTCGTCTTTGACAGCAACACTGCCACTGCTATGTTCTTCATCTAGTCCCGCGCGCCCCTGCGAACTTCTGTTTGATGCTCTCCTGAAACCATTAAAAGGTGCTCTCAGACCTTGATTACAAACAGGAAACTAAGCCTACCTTGGCTCATTAAAATCATTAGGAGCACCAACTGAAAATCCTTCTGGCCGCATCTGCAATGGGAGTGGAGGCATTCCAGGCTCGTAGAATGGCGGCCTCATGACTCCGCCCCTGCACAATCATGTTTTAAAGATCAGAAAACGTAACGTAAAAGCGCACCTGCCACCAAAGCCCCCAGGAAACATTCGATGGTATGGACCTCGCGGTCTTCCCATTGGAAAAAAAGGAGGAACTTCTGCATCCATATACGGGTTTCTTCCCAACAGAGGCCCTGCCCGCGGGTCTGGCCCATCTTGTTCATGGCCCATGTCGTAATCACTCTCACCCATGTCCATTCGATCAAGAAAAGGCACGGGGGTCTCCACTTCTACGTCTTTCAAGACTATCTGCAAAGTCACAAATTAGCCTGAATAATCCTGCCGAAAACACTCACCTCTATAATATCACTAGAGTCACGATTTCTGCCACGCCTAAGATCGTAGGATGGTCGCCTCTCTCCCACTCCACCTTCCACTTGAATTGCACGACCGATTGGCTGTTTCAACGATTCTAAAAAAAATTCGCGTAGAAAGAATGTATTCACCTGTTCCGAACGACCACTTTCATAAACACTGATTTTGCTTTGCATCGTGGCCTCCAGTCGAAGTTGACTCTGCAGTTAACCTTGAGATAAGAATGCGAGGAGAATTATAGCATACCAGTTGCTGACAATATTGCCTCCAAGAATTCTCATTGAAGCCAAAATTGAAGTAGTCAGTGATATCCGCAGTAACATTCCTCCATGGTTTATCGTCCATAGCATCCAAGTCCATATCAAAAACAGTCCTGGACATTCCGGGAAAGAAGGAAGCTTACACATTAGACGTACTTTTTAGCTTACTTGGTTGGGGGAAGATGAAACTCTGTATGCGGATAGCCACCAGGACCAGACCAAGGCCTTGACGGACCAGAACCAAGAAGCGGAGGTCCCTTTCCAGGACCCCAAGGACCCGGAGGAAAAGTTCCTCTTCCCAGTCCCGGACCAGGGGCACTGTTCATGGCAGGACCAGACATTGGAGCTCGCACATACTGCAGTTCAATGGCGCATCACAATCAGGGTTGCTAACCAAACAAAAAAAAAGAAAAAAAACGAGGTACCTTGAACTGTGCATGATGCATAAACTTCCCGGGCGGGCGCAGAGGACCACCAGGATTTACCACAGGTGGCCTAGCAGCACCAACTTGATCGCCAGGCAGCAAACCAGGAGGCAAAATCCCAGGAGGACCTCCCAGAGGAACTCCGAGAGGCGGCTGCGACGCTGGAACTTGATCCGACAGAGTGGATTGCTCGTCCAACCAGGGCTGGTTTGCGGTCGGTACTTCTTCCGCTTCTTCATTGCTCTCCCCCAGGGCTGGAGCCTCAGCCTCTGGAGGAGCGCGCTTGACATTGTTGAGCACAATCTGGAGATCATCGTCACTGTCGCTCTCGGACCCCTCGGCAGCATTTCTTCCGGACTCGTTGTCCGAGAATTCTTCGCCCCGATTACCAGCTCCTTTGGCCGACCCATTGTTTAAAGAACCTCCAGCGGCGACCCTGGCGCTATCATCCCCGCCAAAGCCAGGATAATCGTCCTCGTCCTCCTCTTCCAAGCTGAATCCAGGCGCTGGAGCTGCCGCTGGAGCACGCGGGGCCTCGGCGTCGCCGCTCCCGCCCAATCCAGCATAGAGATCTCCAAAATCGTCGTCTTCGTCCATAGCCGCGGACCCGAGAACACTCGCTGCTGTGCTCGCCGCCTAGATTCTACTCCCTAGTCCCATTCTCATACCGGATTCCAGGCCCGGAGGATCGGAGACGCGCCATGCACAGATTCGCCCCTCGCCCCAAAAACCCTAACCCGAGAAACCCTAGAAATAAATCTAAGAGGCTAAAGATTTTCTCGAGCACATCCAATCGATAGAATCGGGCACAAAGGGCATGGTTTCCATGAGCTCTCGCGCGTGAGAGAAGTAGCGAGCTTGACAAAGCACATTAATCATGGCTGAGAAGTGGATCTTCGTGGATTCGATGTTAAAATCCGAGAGCATGGAATGGAAGAAGCTCCGAGCTGTGGTGACACTGCCACACGCCGCAAGAATGTTTGCGAAGGACGTCTCGTCTGGTGTTTCTGTAAAGATCATCTCATGGAAGAGATCAAACGCGTGTTGTGGATTCGAGGTCTGGGATAAACCCGCCAGAATCGCATTCCACGAGATTAAATCGCGTTCCGGCATTGAATCAAAGAGCTTTCTTGCTAGAAGAATTTGACCATTCTGGCAATGTGCGGAGATCAAGGCGTTCCACAAGACAATGCTTTTCTCTAAAGATTGATCAAATAAATTTCTAGCCTCTTCCAACTTCCTGTTTTGTGCCAAAACCTTTATCATCAAACTGTAAGAAAACATGTTCCATTCTGGCATGCTGACAAATATACTCTTTGATTGATCAAAATGCCCGGATTGGGCATATGCTGTAAGTAAGCATGTCCAAGAGACAATGTCGCGTTTTTCGAAGGAATCAAAAAGATACTTACATTCTTCTACATAAAAATTCTGAGCACAAGCACCTACCATTGCATTAAACGAAATAACATTGATTTCTTTTAATCCAGAGAAGATTTCTAGCGCTTCTATTATATGCCCAGTTCGGGCATACGCCGAGAACATTATCGTCGATGCAACAACATCATCCTCTTGCCGCGAATAGTAAAGATGCTTCAACTCGTTTAGATCTCCGTGTCGTGATAACGCACCTAGCATCAAGTTCCAAGACAGTGAATCCCTCTCAGGCATTTGATCAAACAGAGATTTCACACTCCAGAGCTCCCGATCTCTGTGGGCAAATGCAGAAAGCAGCGAATTCCAAGATACAAGATTCCTAACCTCCATCGCATCAAAGATCTCCTTTGCTCGCTTTGAATCGCCGTCCCGAGCGTGTGAATTCAGCATCGCAGTGCAAGAAATCACATCAAACTCTGGCATCGCCCGGTCGAAGAACTCTCGCGCTATCCTAGTTTTAAATTTGGAATATACCGTTAGCATCGCGGTCCAAGAGACGAGATCCCACATTGGCATGGAATCAAAGAGAGCTTTGGCTTCGCAAATATGCCCGTCCTCGGCATATGCTATTAACACTGTGGCCGAGGAAGCAAGATCTTTCTGCGGCATAGATTGAAACACGTCACGCAATCCGGGAATGTCACAAATCCGACGGTAGAGATCAAGCAGAATTGTCCAGGAGATGTAGTTCCACCCTGGCATAGAATCAAAAAGATTCTTTGCCTCGACAAGATGCCCGGCCCGGGAATATGCCCGGAGCATCGTCGTCCAGGTGATTATGTCCCTCTCGGGCATTCTGTCGAAGAAATCTTTCGCTTGCTGCGTAGAGCCATTTTGCACCAAAGCATCCAGCATTGCCGTCATGGAGAAGAGGGTTTTGTGGGGCAAGGATTCGAACACGGTACTGGCCTTGTCAAGATGCCCGGCCCGGGCATATGCCGCGAGCATGAAAACCCTAGAGAAGGAGTTCTTGGCGCCGTCGGGAATCGCCGCGAAGATCCTCGCCGCGTCGCCAATGCTGCCGATGCGGCCATACATCTGGAGCAGCAAATTCGAGAGGTAGAGATCGCGATTGGGAATGAGAGACTCGATTCTCCGGGCTGATGCTAGGGTCTTGCAGTTTTTGATGAGGCGAATGGATTCTTCCCTGGCAATCGCCGCTGGGTCGATCGAGACGAGCGATCCAGGCAACGGCATTTTCTCCCTCCATTTAACAAGGGCCGCAAGGAAGCTTAGCCCTAGAACAGAGCTTTCTTCCTTGCCCTAAGAAGGAGGGCGCGATGGCGAGCTGGACGGCGGGCTGGACTGCGAGCGCGGTCCGGAGCCAGTTCATCCGATTCTTCGAGTCCAAGGCTCATGCGCTTGTGGAATCCGGTCCTGTGGTGCCGCTGGATGATCCGACGCTGCTCTTCACGAATGCCGGTGAGTGATTTCTTCGCTGTAAAGCAATGCCATATAATATGCGCTATTTTTCTTGGATTTCCAGGGATGAACCAGTTCAAGGCGATTTTCCTCGGGATTGTGGATCCCAGGAGCAAGCTCGGGCAGCTCAGGCGTGCATGTAATTCACAAAAGTGTATACGCGCTGGAGGGAAGCACAACGATTTGGATGATGTTGGCAAGGATACATACCACCACACTTTCTTTGAAATGCTTGGGAACTGGTCTTTCGGGGATTACTTCAAGAAAGAAGCCATCCTTTGGGCATGGGAGCTGCTCACAGAGGTACAGAGATTTCGGTGACAGTTTTAGAGTTTTTTTTTTCACTGGACTGTTCACAGGTATACAAAATCGATCAAGAGCGGCTGTACGCAACGTACTTTGGTGGAGATGAAAAGCTCGGAATTCCACCAGACAACGAAGCAAAAGAGATTTGGCTCAAGGTTTTACCCGAGAGTCGTGTTCTTCCCTTCGGTTGCAAGGTAAAGTTTTTCATTTCCTTTCCTAGAGCGAGGGAACATGTGGAAACTAATGACACCTTGGGATCTAGGATAACTTTTGGGAAATGGGAGACACGGGGCCGTGTGGACCTTGTACTGAAATACATTATGATAGGCTTGGAAACCGCGATGCATCTGGGCTGGTCAACAACGATGACCCCACATGCATAGAGATTTGGAATCTCGTGTTCATTCAGGTACTTGTGTCCAAGTGATCGGAGTTTCTCATGCTAAGCTTTGCAAAACAGTTCAACAGGGAATCTGATGGCGCACTGAAACCTTTGCCGGCAAAGCATGTCGATACTGGGATGGGATTCGAGCGATTAACTTCTGTGTTGCAAAATAAGATGAGCAACTATGATACGGACGTGTTCGTGCCGATATTTGAAGAAATCCAGGCGGTAAGTTAAGAAGCTCGTTTGAGTTTTTATATCTGGTTTGTCGCAGGTAACTGGCGCACGTCCTTATTCAGGAAAACTAGGAAAAGACGATTTGGATAACGTTGATACAGCATACAGAGTCGTTGCTGATCACATTCGAACTCTGTCTTTTGCCATCGCTGACGGTGCTCGCCCAGGCACGTACAAATTTTTTTAAGAGTAGATTAGCTTCATCCCATTTTTCTGCAGGCAATGAAGGGCGTGAGTATGTGCTCCGGCGGATATTGAGAAGGGCTGTGAGATATGGTCGAGACGTTTTGAAGGCGAAAGAAGGCTTTTTTAGCGGGTATGCGATTTGTATACTTTTACCGTTCGATTTCTCATTGAGGAACGCATGCAGGTTGGTGGATGTCGTCGTGAGGCTGATGGGTGACGTTTTCCCCGAGTTGCGCAAAGCGGAGAAGAAAATTAAGGAAATCATTGCCGAAGAAGAAACTAGTTTTGGCAGAACTCTTGCAAAGGTTTTCGTTTTTCCTGTTCGCCTGGTTGCCATGAGACTGACATGCGTAATTGTGTTCAGGGCCTGGAAAAATTCAACAGATTAACCTCCGATTTAAAGTCTGATCAGTTGAGTGGAGAGGTCAGTTTCGGTTTATCGGTTTTTGTGAACTTCGTTATCTTTCTCGTTTTAGGATGCATTCCTGCTTTGGGATACATACGGATTTCCAATTGATCTTACTCAAGTGAGTTCGTCATTCTTTATTTTGCTTGCCTAAGTTCTGGTTCGTTTTTGTAGTTAATGGCAGAAGAAAAACATATTCGGGTTGACATTGAAGGTTTCAACCGAGTAATGGAGGAAGCGAAAGAGAAGGCGCGAGCTGCACGCGGAAAAGTAAGCAAATTTGACTACTGCATGTCTAACAAGTATTTTTTTCCTCAGGCTGGCGGAGGACTTCTAGTCTTGGAGGCAGACGAAACATCTTACTTGCAAACTCAACAAATTGTGCCAACTGACGATAAGAGGAAGTACATCTGGAATGAAGATCACGAGGCTACAGTGCTTGCAATCTTTACGAGTAAAGGCTTTGTTCAACACTTCCCATCAAATGGCAGTCAGGACGGAGAAACCTTGGGCTTGATACTAGATTCGACGAGCTTCTATGCTGAACAAGGAGGACAGGTTTGTGACACATACTTTTTGTCGAGTTCTTTTACTTAAGCTCTTTCCTTTCTGAGGATGGTTGCAGATTTTTGACACTGGAGTGATAACATCCGAAACGTCTTCATTCGAAATTGAGAACGTTCAGAGTTTTGGAGGATATATTGTACATTTCACTACAAGCTCTGGTCGGATTTCTCTTAACGACAGGGTGGTCTTGAAGGTATGGCTTCTGTACGGCCCCTCGAAATGTGTCTGACTTCTTTAGGTAGGTTGATTATGCCAGACGCGCTCTTGTTGCTCCAAACCACACGTGTACGCACCTACTAAATTACGCACTCAAGGTGATATGTCACTGCAGTTTATGAAGTCGATTGATTGTCATGGTTGCTATTTGTTCAGACGGTGCTTGGAGATCACATCGATCAGAAAGGCTCTTTGGTTGCACCAGAGAAACTCAGATTTGATTTTTCACATGGTACTTTTCCTTTTTCCCGAAGCTTGTATTAAGTTGACTCTGGAAAGTTTGCAGGAAAGCCGATTGAACCAAAACATCTTCAGCAGATTGAATCAATCGTGGAGAAGCAGATTAAAGATGCATTGCCAGTATACACGAAAGAAGCAAGTCTTGCTCAGGCTAAACGAATTATTGGCCTTCGTGCAGTCTTTGGCGAGGTATTACTCTATTATTTCACAGCCGTTGAAAGTGTCTTTTTTCTACCAGGTGTATCCTGACCCCGTAAGAGTTGTTACTGTGGGAAAGCCTGTGGAGGACCTTTTGTCCGATCCTGAGAATCCAGAATGGGCTGGTCTTTCCACAGAATTTTGCGGAGGTAAGAAATGTTTCGCTCTTGCTTTCGTTGAACCATTTCTTTCCTTCAGGAACCCACATCAGTAACACGAAGGAAGCTCAAGATTTTGCGCTGGTTTCCGAAGAGGGGATCTCCAAAGGAGTTCGTAGAGTAATTGCTCTCACTGGCGACCTCGCGAAAGAAGCCATCTCGCGAGCGGATTCTTTCCAATTCAAGGTGGCCGATGTTTCAAAGCTAGAAGGACCCACACTTGAGAAGGTTAGCATTTTACTGCAAGCTATTCCCGAGTCTTTCTTTGTTTTGTTTTTTTCCTAGGAAGTTGCGGCTTTGAAGAGCTCTCTGGACGCAGCCGAATTACCTGCGGCTCGAAAAACTGCATTGAGGCTCCAACTTAACAAGCTCCAGGTAAGGTATAAAATTTTCTTGACGATAGTAACTCAAACCACGGAACCTTGGCCAGGAACGCATCCGGAAAGACCAAAAAGCGATTGCAGACGCGAACTTAAAACTTGCGATCAAGGCAGCCGTGGACACAGCAGATGCTCTTGCTTCCAAGGGCGAGAAGTGCTGCATTTCTAGAATCGACGTTGGTCTGGATGCCAATGCGATTCGTGAGGCCGTGACCTCGGTCACTAACAAGCACAAGGTACGAGTGTCTTCCCAGTGGATTTAGACTTAGCGGATGGAGCTCTTTTACAGGATCTCGCAGCGATGTTCTTCAGCGTGGATGAAGCAGCCAACAAAGTTCTCGTCTACGCGGGAGTTCCAGCCGCGGTAACTGGAATCTCGGTGCTCGAGTGGCTGGAAAAAGTTCTCGCTCCACTCAAAGGCAAGGGCGGTGGTGGAAAGAACGGCCTCGCTCAAGGACAAGTAAGAAAGTTTCGAAGTTTTTTCTTGGATGTCGTCGCTCACTCGCTGCTTGTCCTCGATCGCACGAACTTCTGTCGATCGAATCTTTCTTCTTTCTTTTTCTCGCAGGGAAGTAACATCGAAGGCTTGTCTGACGCGATGGCCACCGCGGAAACTTTCTTCCAGGAAAAATTAAAGCAAGCATCTTAGCTTGGGCGCCTTATTTTGACCGGGTCTGTATCTCCCGGGAATCGAACCGGATACCTCCTATAGTCTTGGAATTCTTTGTTCTCCCAGGAACCGATCCCTAAACCTATCCATTCTTGGTCATTCAGGGTTTAGATTCGCGGAGCTCGCGAGTGGGAGGAGGCAGCGATTGCCTCGCCCTTCTTTCGGCGGCGGAGGAAGATCGTCTGATCGTCGGCAGCAGGAGGAATCCCTAGCTCTCTTTCTTGCGTTCTTGCCGGATTTGGTGCGCCAGGGGCGCGGATTAGTGGAGTGTGTGTGGAAATTGGTATGGAAGGTTGGATCTATGGCGACCAAGGCGATCTCCTGCTCTATCTCCCGCTCCGTCTCGCCGATCTCCGTCCTGGCCAAGGCGGTGATCGCGCTGAGTCTGGAGCGATCGGGAGGAAGAGCGGGATTTCTTTCGGACGGCTTCAAGCCGGATACGTGCTGGAGGGGGGATTCTCCGGAATTTCTTGCTGGCCGCGAGTTTCTTCCTAAGCCCCGGGCTTCTTGCAGCGTCAGCGCATTCCAGGCCAGATCCGTCGTCAACAAGTATGTCCTTCCCGGATTCTTGCAGACGATGAAATGGCTGCCCTGCAACGAATTGCTGCGGTCTTCCAGCGATGACCAGAAGAAATCCTCTTCTTCCGCGGGGAAATTTCCCTGGGATGGAGGTACTGCTGATAATCTCGCAAAACATGCGGATGGGCGACGGTCCCTGGCATGGATGCGGCAATGGATGAAATTCGCGAGCGAAGATGGCAAGGATATCTTCGCGGCGGCAACGGTGTCAGTCATGTTTAAATGGCTGATGGCCGAGCCCCGATTCATCCCGTCCGCCTCTATGTTCCCAACGCTGGAGATTGGCGATTGCATCTTCGCGGAAAAGGTAAGAGTGTTCCAAAGTTTTCGCCTTCTTCGTGTCCTTCGCTGACCTTTTTGCTCTCTTTTTTTTTGCTTCGTGTAGGTTTCTTACTACTTCAAGAAGCCAAACGTGAACGACATTGTGATTTTCAAGCCTCCGGAAGCCATGCAAGTGAGTAACACTTTCATCCAATCAAAGCTTTACAGAGATTTGGGGGATAGACAACGATGGAACTTTGTTTTCTTACGTGATTTTTTTTGTGTAGGAGCGAGGCTACAGTTCCAGCGAGGTGTTCATCAAGCGTGTCGTTGCGGTGGAGGGTGACGTTGTTGAGGTCGGCTCAAATTTTGCTTTGTCTTTCCTACCCTCCGCAACTGATAACCAAGTTCTCGTTTTGCAGGCTCGTGATGGCAAGCTTGTTATCAACGGTGGTGCCAAAGACGAGGATTTCATCGCGGAACCTCTGAGCTATGACCTGGAGCCAATCGTGAGTTCGCCTGTCACGTCCTCTTGGTCGCTCTCTCAATTCACTCGTCCCACGTTTTTGTTTGCTTGCCGCAGCCTGTTCCACAGGGATCAGTCTTCGTACTGGGTGATAACCGCAACAGGAGTGACGACTCACACATTTGGTGAGGGAATCCTTTCAAGCTTTTGCTCCCAGCTCTACCTAAAGCTTCTTATCCTTTCAGGGGTCCACTCCCGATCAATCACATCCTGGGCCGATTGGTTCTCCGCTACTGGCCTCCCAGTCCTCCCGGGGCAGCGGCCAAGTCCTCGTTTGGCGCGGAAGTTCCGGCAACTTTGCAGACGCTAATCGAGAAGGGGAGCCAGCTACTGACTTTCGGGACTCCGCAGCAGCAGCAGCACAAGCTCCTCCTCCACAACTCGTGAAGAAAAACAAGAACTTTAAGTGATCCTGTCGCTGGCGTTCCTCGATATCTCTTCTGGCTACGACGATTTATTTTCTTTTCTTCGGCGGATAAGGCTCGCAGGCTCGTATTCGATCGGTAGTGCTCGCAAGCTGTCAACGCTCTGATCGGATTTCCAGAAAAGAGATTTTATCTCCTGGAGAGCGCTGAAAGGTGCGTAAGCTTATGGATCAGCTTATGGATCGATCGAAACGGCGATAAGAGCAACACCGAGAGAGAGAAAAAAAGAGAGATAATTCTCTCCTCTTACTATATGGTTTTGCTTCTACCAAAAAAAACCACCAAGAACACACTTGTCTTCTTCTATATGTTTGCTTAGCTCTCGAGGTTTCTATCTTAAGTCGCGACTGTCACGAGCTGGTGAGTTTCCTGGCGGATCATCCCGGCCTCGGCCAGCAGCGTCGCAAGGCCGGGCGATTTCTTGGATCTCGGATCGGAGCTCGCGGGCCTTTTCGATCGATCGATCTCATCACTGGAGAAGCTGTTCGTCCAGTCGGATTGTTGTCTCGAGGGAGCTGGAGCTGGAGTTGGAAGAGGATTGGTTGTTCTCCGGTATGGCGAGAACCACTTCGCGGTGAGGTAGTCGGGTCTCCGCCAGGGAGGGAGCGTGAGACTTTGCGCCTTGAGCGAGCGTTTCATTGCGAGGGAGATGAGGTGGAGGAATTTGTGGAGCTCGTCCTCGGAGCCCACGAACACTGGCGGGATCTCGGCGAGGATCGCTTGGTATTCGTCGCTGGGGCGCGCGATCACGAACTGGGAGCTAAAATCTGTGTCGATGATCACTCGCTTGGAGCCGGCGTCGAGGAGGACGTCAATGTAGGCGTACTCTCCTGGAAGAGAGGAGAGAATCACGCTGTGAGAACGCGGAGGATAGAAATAGTTTGTAACCGACCTTTGGAGATTCCTTTGGATTGGCTCCAGCGCGATTTGCAAACGGCAGCATTGTATCCCATCGATCGGAGGTTCGCGGCGGTGCATCGCAAGCGCTGCTGCTCCGGATTCTCCGCCTCGGGCGTCACGATCTTCCCGGCACGATCCTTGGATCGCTCGACGTCGGCGGCGAGTTTCTGGAGATCGCCACTGCAAGAAGATCTCTGGAAGGAGAAGAGGAATTTCCGATATGAGAGGAGTGCAACTGCGATCAATCGATCTGTGCTTGCTTACCTGATGCAGAAGGAAATCTCGCAGCTCGTCGGCGAGATCTTGCGATTTGGCACTGGCATTAACTGGAGAGGGATCGCCGTTACAGCAACCGCTCAAGCGGCACTCCTCCTCCATGAAATCGTTCACCATCTCCTCCAAGAAGAGGGAGCTGGCCATCGCTTCGTGCTCGCTGCCGCTGCTATAGCAATCGCTCTCGAAATTCCGCTCATTCCGATCGGAATGCCAAAGAATCCCTGGCATGGCCACGATCTAGAAACGAAAACGCCAAGAATGGAAAGAAGAGGACCGAGAAGAAGAGAAACGCGAAGAAGATCGAGCGATCTATGCTCTAGGCATGGAGAAAAATCTAGACCAGATGCAGAGAGACTAAGGAGAGATTATATAAGCGGTGGAGAGAAATGATCCCGTCGATCTCGTATGTAGACAACGCAACGCCACGCAAGAGGACAAGAAATCGATCGTAGGCACACACGGCCGCTGTGCGCCGCGGTCAGCATCCTCATCCATCCCCAAGCACACTTATCCGTCTAAAAAGCCCTAGAAAATTATTTCCTTGTCAGGTTTCGACACGAGTGCCAATGACGTGTCACCACGTGTCACAAATAGCCACGTCTATGACACTTGGCGTTTGCCACGCGTCGTGAATTGGGGCCCGGTGGAAGAACCCTAAAATTTGAAGAGCAAATTTTTAGACCCAGATATCGGAGGTGCAATCGCCGCCAGGGTAGCGCATCTCGTGTGCCAGCGCTGGCCCGTTTGGCTCGTCGCCGAAATCGACGAAGAAATCGTGATTGAGAGCTAGGCCTCCTTTCTCGGTGTCGCAATCCACCTGGAGAATGTGAGAGCCTTCGCTCGCGAGGCCTGGATAGAACTGATTGTCCCAGGAGCTGAACAGCGAGTTTGTCACGTAGAGACGCTTGCCGTCGAGGCTGAGCTGCAGCATTTGGGGGCCTCCTCTCAGTTTCTTCCCCTGGAAACAAAGTTCTCTCTGGAATCCTCGATTGGATAGAAAGAATTTCGCTTACCTGGACTGGAGGAACGCTGGATTGCCAGTCTTCTCCGGTAGAGCTCTCGACCAACACTTTGCTGCCTTTGGAAACCAAGCCTCCCAGCCAGAGCTGCCCGGTTAGCACAGGCTTGGATGGATCATCGATGTTGTACTGCCTCAAATCGCCGTGAAGCCAATTCACAAAGTAGAGGAAACGATCATCCAGGGAGATGAGAAGGTCCGTGATCAAGCCAGGCATCTCGGGTAAGATCCAGTTCTTCACCTTTAGCGGCGAAACAGTCACCACCACCTTAAGATCAAACACGAAAGAGAGAGTTAGAACTCCAGGATCTATTCAAGCTTACTTCATGATCCCAAGTGCTATCATCTTTCTTGAAGAACCGGACCAAAGTACTGCTCAGAGCACAGGCTACGTAGCCAGTATCCTTTTCTGGATTGTGTAAAAATCGAATCTACACCAACAAAACTCCAGGAAAAAAGAGAAAAAAAGAAAAAAACCGCTACCTCGAGTGGGATCAATCCAGTGTCACCGAGATCGATGGTTTGCTTCAAAGTTCCGCCCGGCCAGTCGTACACAAAGAGTTCTCTCCCGTACAGACCCTTGGAAAGATCTCCCAAATCGAAACCTTTGGTAAACGCAGAGGGCGCCCCCCAGGAACTACTGATCATCGTTTTGTGACGAGGTTGATACCAAAAGTCGTAGCCAAAAGAGGGACTGTGTCCTTGTTTTTCCCATCTAAGTCGTAAGATCCAAAGCTCAACAGTGACAAAAAATGGCGTGAAAGACAAGAACTCACGAGAACTTACCTTCCTTTGATGTTGAATTCTCCATCCAAGAGCAAGAATCCAGCTCCTTGTGCTCGTCCTTCTTTGTCTCCAAGGCACGAGATCATAATCTCACCGGAAGCAAGGCAGTGCGCGGTGTGAGGAAACGCGAGCCCAGTTTTTTCGTATATATCCTCCGCCTCGATCACTTTGTGAAGCACTGGAGCTTTCGGATCTTTGAGAGTGTCCACAATGTAAATTCGAGAAGAACTGAAAGACCAAAGAACTTAGCTCTCACGAACAAATCTTAGTAGCTGTGATATACTCACACTAGCGATGGAAGAACAAGGTACCGACGCTCAGCATCCTTCTCTCCATGGCAGGAGCTGCAAGAATTCCATCCAGAGTGGTGGAGCTCGTCATCGACATGCGGAACTGGGAGGCGATGCACTACTTTCGAAAATGTTGGCGATTTTGGATCCACATCCACCGTAGCCAGGTAATCCGGCAAAGATCGCCCAGTTCCTTCGCGAAACAAGGGCAAAAACAAGAGATTCTTGCTTGCAAGCTTGAATTCTCACACCATACCTGTGTAAACCGCCGTGACATAGAGCAAAGATTCTCGCGGCCCCTTTGTAGCGTCCAATGGAGTTCCATAGCCGGGACCAACAGCGCAGCATCCTCCTCCTTCGATCGTCCCCATCCTTCGATCGCTACAAGCCCTACGCAAAAAAATTCACGAGCAAATACGCTAACATAGAACCACAAATAAAATATCCAACGGTGGACTTTACCTCGCGCGACCAACGTGTGAGATTAAACTATATCCAGGCCACGTGAACCTGGTCAGCTTCCAGGCCAGAGCTGACACTCCCAGTATTCGAACTCCCAACTTAGCAAGGACATCCACCACCAGGATTCGACCCCGCGACGTCTCGCACTTTATCCCACAACCCTGCGCAGCCGTAGATATTAGCCATTAGCGCGAACGCCGACGCATCCCTGCCGTCCAGCTCGACCAGCGCCTCGAATGCCACCTCCCCCAGCTCCACATTCCCCCACTTCCAGCACGCGCCCAGAACTGCCCGCCATATCATAGCGCTGCCCCTCCCGAAATCCCGCGCCATCTGGACCGCAGCCGCGAGCTGATTGGCTCGCCCCAGCATGTCCACCGTACAGGCGTAGTGCTCCGCCCGGGGCTGCACGCCGTACACGGGCAGCATCCTTTGGAGATATTCGCTGCCCGTGTCTACCAGCCCACCATGGCTGCACGCCGCCAGCACCGCCACGAAGGTGATGCCGTCCGCGCGGTACCTCTCGTACGACATTGTGCGGAAGAGGTGCAGCACGGCGTCCGTGCTACCGCCCAGCTTGCCGTGCGCCGCGAGGAGGGAGTTCCAGGTGACGGTGTCGAGCAGCGCGATGGAATCGAAGAGGAGCTTTGCGTCGAGAGCACTGCCGCATTTGCCATAGGCGTCGACGAGGCAATTGGTGACGATGATCTCTCGCTGGTCTAGCAGCCCAGCCCGAGCGATCTGGGCGTGGATCGCCTTGCTAGCCGGGAGGCTAGCGAGAACGCTGCTGGCCTTGAGCGCCGCCACCAAGATCGCGGAGGAATCGCGGCGCTGGTCGATGGAGCGGCGGTGGAAGTCGAAGAAGATCTCCAGAGCTAGCTCGGCGTCGCCGTTCTCGGCGTACCCTACAATAAGTGGCACCAAAGTTGACGAAGAACTCTGCGAGGAGCTCCTGGCGATGGTGATCTTGTCGAAGACCTGACGAGCATCGGGCATGCTTCCACACCTGGCGTACATCTCCACCAGCGAGTTCGCGACGCTCATGTCGAGATCAAGCCCGAGCTTTGCAGCTTGAGAGTGAAGATCAGCTCCAATCTTCAAAGCATTCCCAGTGCTGTTCGTCATCGCCATCGCCTTGGCCGAATGATCTTTCTCTTTCTCTTCTTCATGGATCTCTCTTTCCATCGCTGCCAGCTTCGTGCAAGCCTTGAGAGTAGCCACGAACGTCTGTGCATTCGGCTTGCAATTCCGGTCCACCGATCGCATCCTCGAGAAGCACTCGAGAGCTTCTCGCGCTTCGCCATTCTCGACGTAGCCAAGGATGAGCGTGTTCCATGCAACTGTGTCGCGACAGCTCATTCCCTCGAGAACGCTGCAAGCCTTTCCCGTGCAGCCACACCGCGCGTAAAGATCCACCAGGCTGCTCGCCACTAACATGTTTGAGTCCAAGCCCGCCTCCATAGCTCGAGAGTGAATCGACTCGACTTTGCGGAGCTGCTGTTCCTTGTGGTGTTCTTGGCTCACTGCTGAGAGTCTGTCTGGATTCCTTGGATGTCGTCGAGTTTTCCCTGGTTGATCACTCTGAGTGACTCCATCCTTCCCGAAAACTTGAGTTCTTCCTGGATCACCTTGAGTACTTCCATCACTCCCGAGAACTTTAGTTTTCCCTGGATCTCCTTGAGCGCTTGCATCCTTCCCGAGAACTTGTGTTTTTCCTGGATCACCTCTTCCTGGATCACCTCGAGTACTTTCATCCTTCCCGAGAACTTCATTGCTGCCAGTGAAAGTGATGCAAGCTTTCAACGCGGCAACATAAGTGAGGACATTCGCGACACCAGGCTCCATGCTCTCAAACAGCTTCAAGGCAAAGTCCCCGTCTCCACCCTCGGCATAGCCAAGAACGAGCGCTGTCCACGACACAACGCTGTGGCACGCCATCTTCTCAAACACCCTGTGAGCGTCCACCATGCTCCCACATTTCGCGTACGTATCAACCAGCGTGTTCCACACGAAGATATCCTTGCAGCGAGCCCGAGACTCCACAGCCATTGTCTTGGCCAGCGACTTTATCTTCAGGAGCTTCCCATCGACGAGCTTGGCTTCTTCTTTCGTTGCGAGAGCGTTGCATGCCTTGAGCGCAGCCACGAGAGTTTTGGCATTCGAGTCACGGCCTTCGAGCTCGAACCGGAAGAACAAATCCAGCGCCAGCTCCTCGTCACCATTCTCCGCGCAGCCAAGGATGAGAGAATTCTGCGACACCGTGTTGTGCCAAGGCATCCTGTCGAAGACTCTCCGCGCGTCCACAAGGCTTCCGGACTTCGCATACGTTTGAAGCAGCCTTGTTGCTACGAAGAGCTCGTCGTGACACTTCTTCTTCTCGGCTTCACGGTGAAGAGCCATTGCTTTCTCCAGCGCCACCATCTTGACGAAAGGATTGCCGCCAAGTTCTACGCCTTCTTCACTAGCGGCGGAGCTTGAGCAAGCCTTCAACGCGGACAGAACCATCAGAGAGTTCGGCTCCAGTCCCTGTTCTTCCATAAGAAAGAACAAGCTCAAGGCGAGTTCTTCCTCGCGGTTCTCCGAGTATCCCATCATCAAGGCAGTCCACGAGACAACGCTGTGATATCTCATCCTGTCCAGCGCTTTGCGAGCATCCAACATGCTCCCACACTTGCAATACGTATCAACCAAGACGTTCCTTGAAGCCATAGCTTGCAAACCCCGTCCACTTCTCACGGCTTGAGCGTGGAGATCCATTGTCTTCTCTAGAGCCGAAACTTTGACGAGCTTCCCATCGAGCTCCTCGCCTTCTTCTCGAGCCGCCAAGCCCGAGCAAGCCTTGAAAGCAGCGACGTAGCTTGCATCGTCCGCTACACAGCCGCCTCCTTCAGCCTCTATCCTGTCCAGAAACTCGAGAGCCAGATCTTCCTGCCCGTTCTCTGCGTATCCCAGCATCAGAGTGTTCCAGGAGACAAGCGTAGGACACGCCATGGCGTCGAAGACCTTGCGAGCTTCTGCCATGTCTCCACACTTGGAGTACATGTTGATCAAGCTGTTGGCCACGAAAACGTTGGTTTCGTTCCCACGGGACCCTGCCTCGGCGTGAAGCCTCTTCCCCTCTTGCAAGTCTCTCGAGATGCTGCATTCTTTCAACGCAGCGAGAAGATGGGCTACCTTGGTTTGATGATGGAACGCGAGTGTACTAGACCACTGTGATTTTCCGATGACAAATTTGGCCTACAACCAAGAAACGAAAACAAGCATTGAGAAGCAAAAGCAACAGATCGACTGACCTTTCGAAGAAGAGCTATTCTCATTTCTCATTTTGGTAGACTGCAAAGCCGAAACAGAGCTTTCGGCAGCGGCATTTTTCCCGCAGATGTACCCTAGGGGACAATAGTTTAAGCTAACGAACCTCGTTTAAAGGTAGATATTAAAAAACTCAGAAAAATAAAATTTATTTTTTAATACAATAATTTGTATCAATTGATAATTATAAAGGTATAGAGATCAATAAATATTTTTAGATTTTGTTAATATGAAAGTTTTTAAAGCTAAATGATTTTAGTTGTAATAGTTTTGGAAGGTGACATACAATCCACCCGTTTCTCTTACGACAAGCTACGGAGCCAAATTTTCTCAACCACCAGTACCTAGAAGTCACAACTCCCTGAAAAGTTTTTATAATCTTTCTTCTCCAAAGGATGGAATTTCATTGTTCAACAATGACTTGCATCCACTTGGAGGCAGGATCCGCCATTCTGGACTCTCTGCGCTAATTTATTATCCAGGATGGAGCTTGATTTACCTCGATACTCTTAGCGTTTAGCCCTAACTTTCAAGCCCTAAGGCATGGCGGCCCTCTTCCGTCCTGCTTGCGCTCAGTCGGCTTTGCAATGTAGGGCCATGTCTTCGGGACAGCAGCGCAGGGAATGGAGGGCGGTTCAGTTGCGACCTCTGCGAATGAAGGGCACCGAGTAAGTCTCTCCCTTGCTCTTTCCGGCTCCAATCCTTTGTCATCCGCAGGAGAACAGGAAATGAGCACAACTATGCTAGCTGCGGAACACCCTTATACAAGGCTACAGACGCCGGCTACGTTTACGAGGCTATCAACAGAACGGTAAAATAACAGGCCTCATTTCGAGCTTGAACTTGTTTGTTGAGCCGATTCAGGTGGACGCTGACGGACGCAGGTGTGCAGCCTGTGGTGGGCATCTCCGCCACATCTTCGAAGGCGAAGGCTTTCCTGACAGTGAAAGCCTTATGCCCGGAAACAAGTTCTTCCCATCCAATGCTTATTGGTTTAAAAATCGCCCACACCAGGATGCCGTCAGGATCGTGCTGCAGCATGTGCTCGAGGAAGCGGAGTTATCCATGTTTACTGAGGATGACCTCTCAAGGATGGCAAGGGCTGGTTTTGTTACACTTCACGCGTTGAAGGTGGCGGCTGAAAATCCTTCGTTCCTGGAACGCACTCTCCCAGGACGTTATGCGCTTCAGGCTTTCATTGTTCGTGCTTTCACAGCCGCAACATCACGTAAGCGAATGAATCTTTGCAAGCTTTAGTTCAATCACTTCGTGTTCGCAGGAGGTGGCGACCCCGGCCTATCATCATACACCCATCGTAGAGTATTTGGTGTTGGGCACGCCGTGACTCCTGCAAATCATTACTTCGTGCAGCCTGACGTTGACAAGATTGTAGCCGATCTGGAAGTAGGGAGGTACTGTGTGCTGCTGGGTCCGAGGCAGAGCGGTAAATCGACTGTAGCGTGGACCATCATGCGGCAGCTCAAGAGTGCAGGCGCTGTGTGGCCAGTTTATTTGGGTGGACTAGCAGATGCAAACATCAACTGGACAACGTCAGACCTGTGGAGTACACTCATTCGCTACCTGAAGCTGGCTTGTCCTCAGCACTTCCAGGACGCTGCCGGTTCAGATGCTGTGGCTTTCATGTCGCTGTTCAGCAATGCAAGGTTGACGGCTCCAGTTTGCCTAGTTCTGGACGAAGCCGATTCACTCCTCAACTTACCTTCGGAGTGCCTGGACGCATTCTTCTCAACGGTTCGTGAGCTAAAGCAGAGCTTCAACCTTCGATCGTTCCTCTTGATCGGAGTTGAGACAGTGAAGGACCTGATTGCGGCTGGGTACAGAAGAAGCTTGTTGGAGGGCTCCCTCCAGAAAGCAGCAGCGACAGGACAAGGGCCCCGAAGATTATCTCCGTTTCCGCACGATTATTCCCTGAGGGCAACGGGCTTCAAGCTGCACGACATTGTCGACTTGCTGGAACAGGTGAACATGGATTACAACGGTGCGGTTCAAGATGTGGAGCAGATTGCAGCCTCAATACTGGAGCTTACTTGCGGCCACAAGGGACTTGTTGGCATGTGCTTGGCGTTCGTCCTACGTTTGGAGTTGTTCAGCTACGTCAAGTGGTTGGAACGCGTGGATTCTTATGAGCTTGGGACGTATGTCTTTGGGCAGGCCACCTACAGCAGGATTGTAGACAGCTTCAAGATCCGTGCTCGTACTCCTGATGGCTACAAGCTTTTACTTGGCTTTCTGGAGGAGGTGGAAAGGCGTTGTGACCTTCTCAAATTCCGTGACTTGCTTGCAGAAGGTGTTTTGGCTGTGAAGCGGGTAGATGATGCAGCTGGTGATTACTATGTGGGGATATCTTCGCCATTGTTGCTGACGGAGATGCTGCGGGAGTGTGAAGTCAAGAGTGACAACGTGCAGGCACCACCCAGCCAGAGTATGTTGGATCGGAAGTGGTTGATTGTTCAGGTTGTCCAGACAATGGACATGAAAGCGTTGCAAAGGTTGGAGAGCGAGAACGTGGATGGACCATCCGAGTATGTTTACCAATTTGCCTTTATGTGTCGGCTCAAAGCAGTGTTGCGGCAAGCATACCCACAACGTCACTTGGTCGTCCTTCCAGAGGTAAGGGAGAAACTTGGGGTGAAGAGACGGAGATCTCAGAGGCACCTTAACATGCTCGTGACAAATGGTGGTGCAAAGTTTGGCTTTGAATTTCAGGTGAATGGTGACAAAAAGAGTTTGGCAGACCACCATGAAAGGGCAAAGACTTACAACAAGCAGCACTCGGCTCAAGTTTTTCTGATGAACTTCTCCATAGACAAGCAAGCTAAGGAATTGACGCCAGACAATGGAGGAGTGATGTTCGCTGGAATTACTTTTGACACCAAGAGTGAGACTGTGACGGTACGTTTCATAGACTCTAGAGGATGCAAGCAGGTTTTCCATGCAGCTGTCAGGAATTGGGATGGCATAATCTCGTTTGACTGAGGACGAGTGGGGTTTCTCAGTTTATGAGCTGTGGTTTTTTAATACAATTGCCTATTGTACTACAAATAGCCGAGATGAAGCTGAGAAATCAGCAGAGATTAAAGCAACATCAGCAGAAAAAAACAAGCTTCAGGCGTCACCAGACTGGTTACGAAGCTTGGTGTTTTTTATTGTAGTGTTTGTAATTCTCCCTATTAAATTTATTTAGCACATTATAGCCAAGTGGTCATCGAGATGAAGCATTGGATCCATGGTCTCTGTATATTTGTAAGAGTTCTCTCGAGCAAGCCGACAATCTTGCTTTCTGGAGGGAGCCCTCCAACAAGCTTCTTCTATGCCCAGCTGCAATCACGTCCTTCATTATCTCAACTCTAGGATTTGTGGAAACGGCTCGGTACCTACTTCACTGCGTTTTGGTGGTTATATACAAGAGGATGTGGCGACTGTTGACGGTTGGTGAGGATAGTGATGTGGTTAGTGACGTGGACCTTGGGCTTCCGAACACTCCTCCTCAAGGTTTCCATCACCTAGCTTGAGTGTCTTTAGGAAGACTTGATGCTGTACACGAGGTAGAGCCTTGGTCAGGACATCCGTCAGCATTGTGTTGGTAGGACAAAATTCCAGAAGAATTTTGCCTTTGTCTATGAGTTCCCGGATGAAATGGAACCTCAGTTCGATGTGCTTCGTTCTTGAATGGAATCGAGAGTTCCTTGTGACAGCAATGGCAGACTGATTGTCACACCAAAGCTTGATGGGAGGGACTTGGATTTGCAAGTCTTCAAGCAGCTTGCTCAGCCACACTGCTTCTTTTGCTGCTGCTGCTGCTGCTACGTATTCTGATTCCGTTGAGGACATGGCTTCTTCGAGCACCAGCTCACCACGTTCCCATTCAGGAGGAAGACGTAGCCTGTCGTTGATCTCCTGTCATCTACGTCTCCCGCCCAGTTGGCATCAGAGAAGCCAACCAAGCTCGTGGTGGAGCTCTCTCCTCTGGAAAATTGAAGAGTAGTGCTTAGTTCCAGCAACGTACCTCAGGATTCTCTTAACAGCAGCAAAGTGTTCTTGCGATGGATTTTCCAAGTACTTTGCCACGCAGCCTACCAGGTAGGCTAAATCCGGCCTTGTTGAAATCACGAGATATATCAAGTTGCCGACCATCGAACGGTAGAGAGTTCTGGCGCTTTTCTCCTCCTCGGCAGTGCGATATGTCTTGGATGTAGAAGCTTTAGAAAGCTTAAGGCCTGCGGGCATAGGCGTGGCCACATGATTACCATTGAGCATAGAGTACCTTTGAAGTACATCCAGGATGTATTTTTCGTGAGAGAGCTCGAGAATCCCATGTCTCCTGTTGCGTCGTACTTGGATTCCAAGGCAATAATGCAGCTCACCAAGGTCCGCCATCTCGAATTTTGCACAGAGAAATGTCTTAATCTTGTGAATAAGCCGGACTTGGTTAGAAGCGAGGATGGTATCGTCCACATAAAGCGCTAGGAAGAGAAATCCTTCACCTTCAAAGTAGATGTAAAGATTACCATGCGTATGAAGCCAAGAGAAATTAGAAAACCATCAATCTTGTTATACCAAAACCTGGGGCTTTGTTTCAGCCCATAGAGAGCTTTATGCAGCCAGCACACGAGGTGTTCTTGGCCTGGAAGGACAAAACCTTGAGGCTGTGCCACATACACCTCCTCCTCAAGATCACCATTGAGGAATGCTGTGCGCCCATTGAGTTGATGGAGCTGAAGATCAAGCTCGGCTGCTAAAATTAGAAGCAAGCGGATGGTGGTTAGCTTAACTACCGGACTGTAAGTCTCAGAATAGTCAACTCCCTGAATTTGCAAGAAGCCACAAGCGACAAATCTAGCTTTGAATCGATCCACACTCCCATCCGCCTTGTACTTCTTTTTAAAGAGCCACTTGGAGCTCACGACTTTCCTTCTTGGTGGCAATGGCATGAGAGTCTAAGTGTCATTTTTAAGCAAAGAAGAATAGTTTCTTGCCACTTTTGAGTGTCAAGACTGGCAAGAGCAGCCATATATCCTTGAGGCTCAGGAAAGCCTTGCATTGCCCAGTAGAATCCTTTCCATAGTGGTTTCTGGGCAATGGCCTCAAGCGCTTTGACTGAAGGCTTGGTTGACGGCCACACGTCCAGAGCGTCGTGGACCAAAGACCTGTGGAGGTGGAGGAGTCATCACGGGGTCAACGGCCTGGGTGGATGCTTGATGAAATATTTCATCTCCTTCAAAAATGTCGTCGACGATGGCAACAAGCGAGGCTGAAGAAGCGGGACTGCTGGTGGAAGCAGTAGAGGCTCCTGGAGGTGCAAGAAGTGGCGTGTGAGGAGGAGATCCATCACCTCCAGCCACCAAGGGCACTGCTCGGCCAGGATCTTGTGGGCCTTGGTTGTTAGCTCCTCCTGGAGGAAAATTCTCTGGAGCTGGGAGCGAAATAGGGAGCACCTCATCCAGAACCAAAGAAAGATCCACAAGATCAGTTGAATGGCTTGAAATACCTTTGAGGTCTCGATACAGCTCTTGCTCGTTGAAAACCATGTCACAGCTCACTACAAGCTTCTTTTGGAAGAGATTGTAAAGCCGGTAGGCCTTCGAATGGGCGTAGTAGCCCACGAAGATGGTCTTCGTGCTGCGTGGATCGAGCTTGCGCCTGTTCGGATCAGGGACTGCACCCAAAGATCCGGATGTGCCCTAAATTTGGACGTTTCCCAGTCCAAATGTGATACGGGACAAACGGTTACGCAAGTACACCGTCGTGTTCACTGCTCCCCAGAAGCTGTGTGGCAGTCCAGAATGCAGAAGAAGGCAACACATCATGTCCAGGAGCGTCCGGTTAAGCCTCTCAGCCACACCATTTTGTTGTGGTGTATAAGCAGCTGTGTTCTGATGAGAAATTCCTGCCTCAGCTAGGAATTGGAGAAATCCTTGTGCAATGTATTCTCCTCCTCCATCCATGCATAGCACATGGATTTTTCTTCCTATAAAATTTTCTGCCCAGCTTTTGAAAATTTTAAAGTTTTCAAAACTTTGTATAGTGAGTGATCATCTATGAATGAAACAAAATACCTCTTCCCACTTAGGAAATTTACAGGAAGATAGCAGACATCGCTGTGAATAAGATTAAGCAATTTCCAAGGGTTGGGAGGAAAAGGATGGTGTGCATGTTTGCCAAGTTGGCAAGTATCGCAAAGTCCCAGATGTTGCCATCAGCTAGCTTGCTGCGAGCAAGGTTCTGGAGATCCTTCTCATTTACATGCCCGAGACGAGCATGCCAAAGATGAATTGTCTCTTGGCCTTGAAGCGCTAGCATGTATGTCCCTGGATAAACAAGCTCTGCGTTGAGGCGATAGTGTATCGTACCTCACTCCAGTTGCCACGGTGGTGCCATCTGCTCCAAAAATAGTACATCATTCTGCAAAGAATGTAAGCGAGAACCCTTGATCGGAGGCGACGCCAACCGAAAGGACAGTTTGGCCTGCACCGGGCGCATAGTGCATGTTATGGATTTCCTTGGGCAACTTGACTTGCACCATGCCACGGCCTTCAACGTGGAGAGGTTGCTTGTTGTGGAATGCTGTACGAAGAGGAGTCATGTGGTAAGAATCACCACTGTCCAACCAGAGGACGTCTAAACCAGACACCAGTGACGAGGCCACGGCCATCATCAGCAACGTCTGTTTGAGTCAGCATCCGTTGGGTGTTTGCTTTCTTAGCTCGACATTCTCGCTCTATGTGCCCCATCTTCCCGCAGTAGATACACGGCCCCTTCTTTTTCCTGTTTCCATTTGTGGTGGAGCCAGGTGTTGGTGTCGCAGGAGCACTGGCAAATCCGCGAGAATTCCCACGCTTCTTGGCATTTCCATTTCCTGACTTCTTGCCGATGAACAAAGCCTGATCACGAGCAGAATCTGAGGAGGTCGTGCCTGCTTTTCGCTCCAGAAGCTTGCGCTCTTCTTCCAAGAGATTGGAATAGAGCTTGTCTAGGGTCTTTCCTGGAACGAAGGAGAGCATGGAGGAAGACGGTTGGAGTTCAGAAGAAACCGAATAGAGAAGGAAAGTTTTGGCATAATCGTCCGAGACAGGGGCGCCAGCCTCCTTAAGCTCTTGCATCATCCCCTTAAGCTTGCCAATGTACGATGCCATCGTGTCTGTTGGCTGCATCCGGAGATAAAGGAACTTCTGGGTAAGGACGATCTTGGCATTTGCTGCTTTTGCGGCAAACACCTGCACCAAGGACTCCCAATTCTCGTGAGCGGTCTTCGAGAGATCCAGCAGATGGACGAACTCGTCACCTAGTCGTAAGCCAATGACAGAGAGGGCTCTTCTATTCTTGGCTTTCCACGCTAGCTGGAGAGCAGGCTCAGCTGGTTCAGCTTCGGTGCCATCAGAAATCCTTTGCCATCAAGATGAGCTGGACCTTTGTTCTCCAGGTTGCGAAGTTTTCTCCTGTGAATTTGTGTAGAAGTTCCTCCCAGCCAACTAGGGTTACGGGAAGAAGATGCCATCTAAAGTTAGTACTAGAAACAGAAATTTTATTGACGGGAGTGAGATGTGTGTCCACGAGCACTACACATGCACTGTTAGGTGCTAGTTTAAATGGAAACATAACATTTGTATCAAAGAAGTTAGCTACAATGGCTAACCAAGCTAAATGCTAGAATTTTATTATTGATAGTGGTGCCGATAATGGTGCTGATGGAGCTACAAGTTGCAAGCCCTTAATCAAAATTAGCAAAAGATGCAAGACAAGATGCATGGCATGATAGATACCATGCGCAAGCATGTTGAGGCACTGGAGGCAGGATGTGGTAACACTCTAAGTAAGCTTTCTTTGGTAGATCGATTCAAGATTCCAACATTTTTCAGTGATGGTGGTGTGGATAAATGTCTTGCTTAGCTAGCCAATGTGAATAAGTTCTTGGTTATTAAAGGAACTCTAGATGCAAAGGCTTTAGTGGTCATTCCAATGGTTTTGCATGATACAAGTCTTTAGTGGTGGAATTAGCTTAAGGAGTCTAGTGTTGAACTTTGACATTTCCAATTAGGGAAAAT